AGTTGACTCTAAACTTGGATCGTACCGTGCTGCAAATTAAATCTAATTATGTGCGGCCAGCAAACGCCGGTGGTAAAAAAAAAACGAGAACGAGTACAGAGGGCTCGGCGAAGGGGGTTCCTGTTGGGTTCGGACATGGCTTTCTTTTTGCCAAACTGACCCGCACAAATGCGTCTATTGACTGAAACAATGCAGACAAAAGCGACGCAGTAACTGAGCCGGGATCACGAAGCGGGCAGCGGGAACGGGAACTGCTGCACCTGGAGGTAAACCAGGTGAACCAGGTGCAGCCGGTTGGCCCCCAATGGAAGCGCCATCATTGAGCGATGAAGACGGCGGCGGTGGCGCGGGATGAAAGGCAAATAACGTGCAGTAAATGAGAAACAAAGGAACTAACCTACACTGCAATCAAAATATTGCTTAGATTTAAATACATAACTCTATAATAACTGAAAAAAAAAACATTTCTTGGGCATTGGATTATAACATTTTCTAGAAAACTTGTTTTTTAGCTGCAGTTATTAAGTCAGAACATAAACAGATTTTTAGAAAATTTTCTTAATTCTGAAGTCGTAGAAAACCTAAAAGAGATACTTTTAGAAATAAATTTAAAAACAAGAAAGGAAGCTACCTTCGGCCAGCCGAAGCTTATATACCCTTGCAGATTCAGCGTTTCTATTTTTGAATTTTGTTTTTAAAGAGTCAAGAATTAAAACGCCTACTTCCTACAAAGTAACAATGAATTTTCTTATATATCTTTGAATATTCCTATGGGAGCCTTAAGATATAGTGGTCCGATTCGGCTCGCTCCGACATATGTACTACCTGCAATAGAAAGAAGAATTTCGGGAAAGTTACATCGCGATATCTTTAAAACTGAGAGACTAGTTCGCATAGAAACGGACAGACGGACAGACGGACAGACGGACCGACGGACAGACGGACAGACGGACATGGCTAGATCGACTCGTCTAGTGATGCTGATCAAGAATATATATACTTTATGTGGTCGGAAACGTCTCCTTCACTGCGTTGCAAACATCTGACTGAAATTATAATACCCTCTACAAGGGTATAAAAATGTTTTTAAATCCAGACTCTTATGATGTTTTAAACCCCAATTTTTTAACAGTGCAAATCTAAAAAGAAAAAAATTGCCTGAGCTTGGCTTGCGCCTGAATTGAGCTTATGAATGGATAGCCAAGAGGGTTTATAAAGGGGGCGAGGCGAGCGGAAAAGCGGTCAACTTATGGCTTAGACGCACGACAAAAATCCATATTTATATATATGAATGCAACGTGGCCATTGAAGTGGTCAGGGGGTCCTGGGACCTGGGACCTAGGTCCTCGGTCCTGGCGACAAGGGAACCAGACCGGACCGGGTTTGGGGACCGGGACACTCGGTTACTTATGCTTCAATGGCGCCCTGAAACTCGGTGTACGAGTATGTGCCGCAATTGCGGTAAAATATGTTTGCACAAAAGGAAATCGCCAAAGCCACGTGTGCAGGAAATGCTGAATTTGTCTGCTTGGCGCGCTAAAACAAAGCCAGTGTCGAATGGACGGCTGGCTATTCCCGGAAACGCTTTCGATTGGATAGGCAGATTTTTTCCATTGATTAAAGGGAAGACTTTTAACGTTGAAGGATGAAGATCTTTGCCATTGCTGACGGGCTTTACCTTCCATTGAAGAATTTTATGTGAATCTATTTCATCCGATTTATTTTAATGAAAGAGGTATTTTATAGGGTTTTCATATAAAGGTTTCAGTCCCATCTATATTTATACATGTCCATACAAAACTGAAAACTTTTAGTTTTACAATTTTTTGTAAATTTAGCAAACGAAATTATTACAATCTGCTCATTTATTACGCTTTTTTGATAAAGGTCTTAACAATTTTTACGATAATAAATAACTCTATAAGCATTGATATCACGTGTATTTAATGTTTTATTAGGGCTAACGAATATTGTATAGAACAACTGCATAATAATCCATTATTAAAATCACATTAAATCAAAACGATAAACACTGCAATGCGGAAACTTCCATTGGTATGAATACTCTTTGTCGGCCATTTAGGACCATTTGAAAAATGTAAATAAATGTCGAATTGAAGCTAACCAAGTGGAACCAGTTCTGGGAACCGGCTGCCAAATGGGCACCGCTCTTTTTCGGGTATTATTGCAATATTGCTGCCAGTGCGCCAAAAACTGTGCTTTCCCGGGCTAGATGGCGAACTACGGCGGCACTTCCGCTGCCACTGCCACTGGCACTCCGGTGTCTCTCGCCTTCCTGTTCATCGGCGTCTGGACTGGACTTTTGGGAATATTATTGAAAAGTTTTACCGCAAGCTGTGCCGAAGCGGAGCTCACTGCAAAAACAACCAACGTATTGTTCGCCGGTTGGATGGTAAAACCAACCCACCACCCCCCCAACCATCCTACACCCGGCAAAAAGATTCGAACAAAAAATCTGGAAAAAGTGGGGAATAATAAAAGGCGAAGAAGAAAGCGAGGATTAAAAATTTTTGCCAGTCCAAAGTTTCAGTTTTGTTGCAACTTTGGCCACCGACACCACAGCAGCCACACCTACTGCTTCTCTCCGATTCCCCAGATCAGCCCTACATACATATATGTATTTGGCCATAGTTCGTTCGCCCACATTTTCTCTCTTTCCCCGGGCAGTACATAAATTTTGCCGGCAATTTTCGGGCATTCGCCCAATCAGACATCAAGTCACTAAAGTATAAAAAGCAGCAGCAGCTAAAACTTTGAAGCGTGCCGTTTATGTGGAATATTTTTATTGCAGTGTGACTATTATTATTAGGATAAAACATATATATATTTTAAGATGTGTGCGTATATTTCCTAAATCCTAAAAGAATATTAAAAAAATGTTCAAGAATGCGTAATAGTAAGTGTTTAAAAAAGCCTTAAAAGCAAAAGCCCCAGAAAAAATTTCATTAAAATAATATCAAGTTTAATAATAAACCTGACTACAAAAATTAGATTTTTACTTTAAAAATCTACAGCTCATTATCCTGCCAAAGAGTAGTTAGGTGCGTTACATTTTTAGGGTACTCCCCGCTTCCTTACAAATAATAGCTTAGGTGCTCTAACATCTTTTTCCGAATCGCTGGCAATAAGTTTCCATTATTTATGGCAAAAGTTTAATACTTCAAATGCAATAATTTAAGCGAAAGCGAATGAGAATTGTCGGGGCAAACACTTTGACTGGGTCTCTTTTCCGGCCAAGGCCAATGGACAAACTCAAATATATTTAAGCTAATTGCATTTTTCCTTTCTGAGAGCGAGGCAAATGATGGTCAGCGGGGGTAACGGTGGCACGAGATTGCGAATCTAATATGCGATGGCAAATGACAGCGCACAAAACTGAATGACCATGTGTTTGGGGTGAAATTTGCACAACCTTGACATTTTCAGCCCCCAATCAAATTGACCCAACACGCTCCGCCAGAGAGAAAGAGGACGGCTGGGCTGGATGGATGGATGGATAGTTTCAAATATGCAATTCGATGTTGCTGAAAGCGGAACAAGCACCAATCCATCAATTATACAGATTAATAATCAACGTTCGCTCGGCTCACAATCTATTGAAAGTGCCCTGCACTCAGGAAAAAGTAGAGAATGTTGACAAAATCTAAAACTGTCGTCTTAAAATCAATATATTTTATTATTTTTTTGGTCATTTTAATGAAATCTTTACCATGACACAGAAAGAAATTACTTTATTTATATGTATGTTTCTTTGTTTATAAATCATGGAATTTATATTATAAAAAAAAATTTTTTCTTATGTTTCTTTTTTAAATTTGTAATATTTTCTTATCTTTATATAAGCGAATTATAATTTTGTGGTTAAACCTTTAATTTGTAGAGAAACTCCTAGTACTATTCTAGATTCATTCGGTTTAACAATCTCCCGAAACCTTTAGATACATTTAAATAATTAGATAATTAAAATTTTTAAGTGTAAAATGCAAGTGACAGTGGAGAAAAAGTTTTGCGGTCGAGAGTGTGTGCCAAGTAGTTGCCAATCAATTTTTGGCATCGTAACGCCGCCCCGCTGCCTACTTATGTGGGTGCAAAAGGGGGGGGACAGGAGTGGCAGGACATCACCATTACCATCCGGCATGGAGGCATCCAGGAGCCATCGGCAGCGGGGAATCAAGGAAACCACCCTGAGCAGCAGCAGGATCGTCAATGGCATTGTGGCCAACAGGCACGTCGATTTCAATTGAATGTGGTGCGGCCAACTACCAATGTCTCCCGTCCCCCGTCCCCCGCTGTCACCCCCATCCACTTTCCACTTCCCACATCACCCATTATGACACGCTGCCAGCAAACCAAACACAATCACAGGAGAGGATGCAGTGCCCACCGTCACACTCACTTGCAGTTGACACTTTTGTAGCCAGCTCGCATCCTGGCATCCCGGCATAGTGGCATCCTGGGATGTCCTTCTGTTTGTTAGCCGTCCAGTTTGCTGGTCCTCGTCGTCGTCGTCTCGTCTCTAGTTGTCTGTCACTTGGCCTATGCCATCGATGGTTCTTCCCCCTCTTATGCAAGACCCTGTGATTCACTTGCAACATCAATTCCGATGACGTGCCCACTCACCTCACCCTTTGGTTGCCACTTTGAATCTGCAACTGTTGGCTCGCATCAAATACGCCCGGAACAATGAGCTAACCCAATAAATATGAGCAGAGGGCTGCCGAAGGTGTGGAGTCTGTTTAATTAATATCTACGATTAGGCCTGTCGAGGCATGAATTTGCATTTAATTGTTAGAACTAGTTGAAGACTAAGTGCCTTAATTGTAGTAGTATATTACTGCAAGTTTTGCAATACTAAAGTTGAGAAAGCAACATTACTATAAAATTTTTAACATAACTTTCTGCCTATCTGTTTTATTTATCTTTCAAAAAAGCCTAGGCCATATCACCAATCAAAGCAGTCGATTTCAAACACTCATCAATAAACACCCTGATTTGGGAGACACCAAAAGTTTTTACCAAACCAACTAAATTAGAAACCAAACTCAAATGGCTAAGCAAACACAAAGGTATATTAGTTTGGCGGGATCCATGGTGCGCAAGTTTCACACGGCGCAGTTTCCACGATGTGATAAGGTATCGATGTCGAATTTCGACTGTGGTATCCCTTTGCCCTATAAGAAGCTAAAGGAGACTCTTGCCTGCGTCAAGGCCAAGCTCAAAGGGCCGCTGACTTTGTCGGAGAAGGTCTTGTACTCCCATTTGGATCAACCGGATTCGCAGGAGATCGTGCGAGGCAAGTCCTACTTGCGATTGCGTCCGGATCGCGTTGCCCTGCAGGATGCCACGGCCCAGATGACCCTGCTCCAGTTTATTTCGTCGGGCTTAAAGAAGGTTGCAGTTCCATCGACGGTGCACTGCGATCACTTGATCGAGGCCCAGGTGGAGGGCAAAAAGGACTTGGCCCGGGCAAAGGATCTCAACAAGGAGGTGTTCGAGTTTCTTTCCTCCGCGTGCGCGAAATACAACTTGGGTTTCTGGAAGCCCGGCAGCGGAATAATCCATCAGATCATTTTGGAGAACTACGCCTTTCCGGGTCTCCTGATGATCGGCACCGATTCCCATACGCCGAACGGCGGTGGCCTCGGTGGTCTGTGCATCGGGGTCGGTGGTGCCGATGCCGTCGATGTGATGGCCAATATACCGTGGGAACTTAAGTGCCCCACAGTGATTGGCTGTCATCTGACGGGTAAGATCAGTGGCTGGACATCGCCCAAGGACATCATTTTGAAGGTTGCCGAGATCCTTACGGTCAAGGGAGGCACTGGCGCCATTGTGGAGTACCATGGACCCGGGGTGGAGTCCATTTCCTGCACTGGCATGGCCACCATTACCAATATGGGAGCCGAGATCGGAGCCACAACATCGGTTTTCCCGTTCAACGATCGCATGGTCTCCTATTTGTGTGCCACGGGACGTGGAAAGATTGCCGCGGAGGCGATGAAGAACAAGGATCTGCTGGTGCCGGACAAGGGCTGCAAGTACGACAAGGTGATCGAGATCAATTTGGACACCCTGGAACCGCTGGTCAACGGGCCCTTCACGCCCGACTTGGCCCATCCCATCAGCAAACTGGGTGCGAACTCCGAGAAGAATGGCTATCCAATGGACATCAAGGTGAGTCTGATTGGATCCTGCACGAATTCCTCGTATGAGGACATGGGACGATGTGCCAGCATTGCCAACGATGCTTTGAGTCATGGGCTCAAGTCCTGCGTTCCCTTCAATGTCACCCCGGGATCGGAACAAGTTCGGGCCACCATTGCGAGGGATGGTTTCATAGAGGTCCTGGAAAAGTTCGGCGGCACCGTGCTAGCGAATGCCTGTGGTCCCTGCATTGGCCAGTGGGATCGCAAGGATGTGAAAATGGGTGAAAAGAACACCATTGTCACTTCGTATAATCGCAACTTTACCGGCCGAAACGATGCCAATCCGGCAACACACTGTTTTGTCACAAGTCCGGAAATGGTAACAGCTTTATCCATTGCCGGACGCTTGGATTTCAATCCCCTGACGGACGAACTCGAGGGCAAGGATGGCAAAATGTTCAAACTTAAGGCGCCAACCGCCGAGGAACTGCCGGCCAAGGGTTTCGACCCCGGCGAGGACACCTACCAGGCTCCGCCCGAGAAGGGCGATGATATCAAGGTCAATGTGGATCCCAAGTCGGACAGACTGCAAATGCTCGAGCCCTTCGAGAAATGGGACGGCAAGGACTACATTGATTTGATGGTTTTGATCAAGATCAAGGGCAAGTGCACTACGGATCATATTAGTGCCGCTGGTCCATGGCTAAAGTACCGCGGTCACTTGGATAATATTTCGAATAACATGTTCATCGGGGCCACCAATGCCGAGAATAACGAGATGAACAAGGTCAAGAACCAGAAGTCCGGCCAATTCGACGCCGTTCCAGCCGTGGCCCGGGATTACAAGGCCAATAAGTTGCGGTGGTGCGCTGTGGGTGAGGAGAACTACGGCGAGGGATCCTCCAGGGAGCATGCCGCCCTGGAGCCCCGTCACTTGGGCGGTGTGGCCATCATTGTCAAGTCATTTGCCCGGATCCACGAGACCAATCTCAAGAAGCAGGGCATGCTGGCCCTGACATTCGCCAATGCCGGCGACTACGACAAAATCCAGCCATCGAGCAAGATATCGCTGCTCAACCTCAAGGACTTGGCACCCGGAAAGCCGGTGGACTGCGAGATCAAGAACAACGGAGGCTCCGACAAAATCCAGCTGAACCACACCCTCAACGAGCAGCAGATCAAGTGGTTCCAGGCCGGCAGTGCCTTGAATCTGATGAAGGAGCTGTCTGCCAAGAGCGGGGACAAGAAATAGTTACCATAGTTTTTCTAAACAGAATATTATTTTAACTAAATTTGTACGTTATTTTATCTTATGTGGACCACAAGTAATATTTCACCATTAAAGTGGCAATCGAGTATTACAAGTATTACTTTCAATTAAACTTTTGGTATACATTAAGTTGTAGATTTAAAAATTTTTCAGGACTTATATCCAATTTATAAGTGTAATTATCAACTAAAAGTTGGCATTTTTCTCTTTGACACACATTGTCTTTATACCAGCAGACCACAAACTCATATAATTCTTTTTTGATATCTGCCAGAGGAATATCCCCTTAAACAATTATTCCCAAAAATAACTTAACTTTACATAAACCGCAGGATACTATAATGGGGGCAAAGTTTAATGCCAAAATGGCACATGAAATGCCGAAAAACTAAACCGAAAGCCGAAATAATTCAAAACTAATTAAAATCCATTTAAAATTGCACACAGCCTGCAATGCAGAAAAATAATAATAAATTTTCCGACTTAAGCTGGCCAACTTTTTTGTCAACTGGGTGGACGAGTGGGTGGTTGGGATGTTGGGTGGCTAAATGGGTGGTGCGGAGGGACAATAAGCGACGCTTATCAACGGTGCCAACCGAAACTGTCACATGCATTGTCATTGTCACAGGGGCGGGTGGCTCAAGGGGCTCAAAAGGGGGTTTTTCCGAGCAGAGGCCGTGCCATATTTGCATTTTCCCTCTCTTTTCTGCTTGTGTGTGTGGGTGAGTGTGCGTGCGGGCGTATGTGAGTTGGCATAGAAAATTATTTGCTACTTTTAATTAGTGCCAAAAAGTCATTCACAAAATCCTGCAAGAGAGAGAGACAGAGCGAGCACCCAGGGAAAGAGACATGCGAGGAGTAGAGTTGGCCACGGAGCGAAAGGGACCGATATGGGGAAAGCGAAAGAGACAGGCAGAGGATATAGGAGCCTCAGTGCACAAGTTCAACGAGCAAATACAAAAATGTCTATATATATCTGTATCCGTCTCGCTCTGCGAACTGCCACTGCTTTTTGCGGCAATATTTGCACAGCCTCCGACTGAATGAGCGGGTCATGAATGTGGTGCATGTGGCAATACAGTGCGTCTCGGCCTTATAAGGCAGAAATCAGCAAGGCAGTCAATAGCTTTTTGTTGATATTCAGTTTATTTTCAAATAAAATACAACACCTATTGTATTAATTACAAATTGATTAGACTACATACAGAGGAACAACATTCAAATTAATTAAATAACGTGTTAACTATTAACAATGGATTGCCTCGCGTGCTTTTATAATCACAATATAGACAGATCACATACCAATCATAGTCTGATTAGCAACATTGTAACATGTTTTTTTAATGAAACCAATTACAGATTGATGCACGCAAACAATGAAATAATAATAAAAAGATAACATAATTTTTCTATGGTCATTAAATAAACCTAAAGTCACATATGTTTATTATCTTCCAATAATTCGATGGGAATTTTTTTTAAAACTGCATTGCTATAATTAAACGCACTGTTCACCGTAAAAGAAGCCACAACCCCAATCAAAAAGGCCAACAAAAAATGATAGCAATTTAGCTCGGCCTAAAACCGAAAATGTTCAATTATTAACTCGTAATGGTAGGATGTGTATGTGGATCGGGGGGCTGAAAGGGGCGGGCCAGAAGGAGGTCCAGTTGGTAAGAAGTCAGCTAAGCTGGCGGCCCGAAATTATAGACTATGATTTTTGTCAAATTGCATTCAATTTTGCCAGAGCTCGAGCAGGACTCCTTTGTATCTCGGCTGCCACAAGCATTTGTATCTCTGTATCGGCTGGATCCATCTTCTCTCCGTCTCTTTCGCTCCTTCTGTGTGTGTGTGGGCAAGTGCATGGCAAATGTCACACATGCATTTCAATTTGAATTTACAATATTTCTGGCTTCAAATGCAGGCATGTGGTTGCGTGTGTTCGGCTTGCCAGGCACTTCATATATGTCTTGGTCTCTACCCGTCTCCCTCTGTCCCCCTATCCCCATCTCCCTCGCTCAGTTTGTCATTTGCATACTTTGCACTTAAGTGAATTTAATCTTTTCTGCATGCTCTCCTCTTCGATATTTGTCAGCCATGAGTGTGTATGTGTGTATGTCCTGCCCTGAGCTAGCTGAAAAATGTGTTTATCTTTTGTATGGATTTTTAATGCCATCTATTGTATCGGGGGATGCTCCTACAATACCATATTCGCCTCCCACTCTTGCTATTCCGGTTCCTTGCTTAGTTTATTTTATTAAAATTTTAATTGCTTTTTGGAAAATGTTTTGTCAATGCGTAGACGCAGCAACAACGAGTTCATTGATATACAGCGACGAAAACGGAAACATTCGAGATATTTTTATGATACACAAACATGTATTTTTCCGTTTTCCTTTTGCTTGGCTGGGTAATAATGGATTTTTCAATTGAACCCACATTTTTTGCAAGTTTGTCAGTTGGCCTGCTAAAACGTTAGAAGAATGATGGGGCAAAATGTAAATGGAAGGAAAATGTTTAAGATTTAGAAAATGTCTAAAGCCTGTGCGGAAGCTCGCAAAAAGTTATATTAATAAAAATATTTACTTTGATTGATTGCTTTTAAGAATCAATTGCATAACAATGCATTGCAGTCTTTAGTTGAGAAATGTTAAAAGAGAAATATTTTCATGGAGTTATTATTTTTGTGCATTGTTTTCGATAGTTTAATTCTAAAGTATTTTCGAAATAAATTCTTTGATTGAGTTTTTATTTGGCTTCAATCGTTATGCATTCCTAGAAATAGTATTCATATTTATTAAGCTTTTTTAAAACATTTCGTTTTTAATTGTAAGATTATGTTTTCTTCCCCTGTTCATATAAAATAATTCCAGTTCAGAAATAGCCCCCAAATATCAGCACCTCCTTCCGCAGATTACTTCCCCATTTGCCAGCTGCAATAAGAAAATTACACGCTTGACTCGAACCGATAAACGTAAATCACACACAAATGACAACTGCCAATAACCTCACACGCGCATCCAAAATGAAAGCAAACCGCAAAAAATAAAGAAAAATTGAAAGCAGAAACACAAACAAGCAAAAATCGAACGAAAATAAAATGAAACTCGCTCTCAACAAATAAATTGCATTTTGGCCGCTGGCGAGGTAAACAGCCACAAATGCCACACGAAAATAGAAGAGAGCCCAAGCAATAGAGCGGGCGGGAAAATAAAGCAAAACTTGACAATAATCGAAAAATTATTTCCACACATTGTGTGCTGGGCGGCGGTGGATGAAGGGCGTGTCAAATCAAAGAAACAAATAAAATGAGGAAAACAAGCGGAAAATCCACAGTGCACATAAAGCGGGAGAAAAAGAAAAGAGCTCGAATTAAGTTAAGCACTTTTATTTATTATTAAAAAAGTTTTCATATGAGGGGGTGCAAAAAAAAGTAGAGGGGCCGCGATGGGTGTGGCGAAGGAAAATCAGCAAAATCTGCACATAATGCAAAGAAAATCCCGAATTTATCGTATCACTTAGATGTGTGTGTGCGAGTGCTAAAATGTGTTGGTGTTTGCCCCCTTTCAAAGGGGTTAGAATGCGCATTATAAACGTTACAACTGTGGGTATAACTCGCAAATATATTCGTCAATATAAAAATATACATTTCAATATATATGTATTTATTTTTTAAAACAATAAGACAGTTATTCTCTTTTTTAATAGTATAATTAAATGTTAGAAATATATCTCTAATAAGTATATCTTTAAAATCATTTTAAATATCTGACTTTAAATTTTAGAAAATAAAATATACCATCAATTCAGAAACTACAGTTATGTCTGCAACTGTCCTCCCCGTGTTTGTGCATTCATAATATAACTGTTGATTATTGCGCCAACACGCACTCGACGTAAGTGAACCAGCAGCAACAGCTTCAGCAGCTTTGACTGTGAAATCTGCGAGCTGTAATCTGGCAACGTGGCGTATGCGCAATATTATTAGATATTGAAAGCAGCCATCGATGATGATGGCGAAACGCTGGCCCTCCTCCCTTAGTGTTTCCCCTCCCACCATCGAAAGCCAAAAACCGAGAGCCGAAAGCAATTGAAAGCAGCCACAGCAGCAGACATATGAATTTTTTCCTGGCTCCCTTTAGCACTCGGAATCGGAATAAACCTCTTTTAGCCCTGGCATCTCATCTCCCGCATTTATATGGGGCATGTGTGACGGTGGAAGGGGGGTTATGCGATTTGGATTCGGATTTGTCTGTGGGCGTGTCTTTAGCGCAGAGCTCTGCGGCCCCATTGCTCCTGCGGATGAAGCTGAAGCTGTATTAAATCGATGGCAATGTGCTAAATTTGTGGCAGATTATTTATTAGTGTAATGGCTTTAAATTTGCCAGCACAGATGCTCAAATCGAGGATGCTTTTCTCTACGAGATTTATGTTTGTGCTTTGAGTATGGCTATTTAAATATGTATAGATGGAATTTTTATACGATGCGATGAACACAAAATGATTGAGTCGAGATTTAACGCGTTTTTTATGCGGTTTTGAAGAAATTTATTGTGGTTCAATGTACAGATGAAAAAAAAAACTAAACAATTTTAAAATCTGCTCAAATGAGCTTATTTCATTTAGTCATTTCTATAAGTAACATAATAATTTTAGTTATAATCGGTGCAAGTGTACTAAAGGTTTCAATATAAATAACTTTGTAAATAAAGGATGAAAATTAACCATTTCCATAAAGTTTATCTATTCTTTAACATAAAGCTCACAGATTATAACACTTGAATTTAATATAAATTACCACTGAGGAATGCGATCTTCAATGGAAGAGGTAATATTATAAGTGCCGACGTGAACTCCATCTTTATAGAATTTACCGACGTGTCGGCAAAGGCCGCGTGGCATTATAGTTGGCCATCGCTTCACATTAAGGGTAACGTTTCTCAAGAAATACGTCCCCTTTGGGAAAACGCAAGCTTTCCTGTTTATAAATAGGTCTGTGTTAATTCCGTGCCTAATGCTATCCGTTATATAGTCCCCGTGCCTCTTGAACAGTGTGCAAATCCCTTGACTGGGCATGGATATCGGCATCAGCTTGAAATTGCCGTCGCGAGCGGAATTGGTGTAGATATCTACTGAGAATTTGTAGTGATCATCGTTAAAATCTTCAAGAATTTTAAAAGTTCCATTCAATATATGGTCTCGGCCAATTAATCGAAGTTTAGTCCAGTCAAATGGTTGTGAATTTGGTGCCCAGTCTATGGATACAAAGCTTGCTTCATAAGTCATTGGGATCTGAAACTAAAATACCGAAATGTAGTAAACATCAGTGATTCAAAATTAAATCTATTATATTTATATATTACCAGTGCTTTGGGTATGATTATGAGAAACACGAATACTATAAATGTCAACATCGCGGTAAGAGAACGATTCAACTATTGAAACTCAAACTCAGTTCGGGTTTTGTATTTATAGCCAGTTTTTTCGCTTTATCCCGTCCAACGTACATTGATCTAACGTGTTAAAAACTAGTTCAAAATTTAGAGATTATTCTCTACACCAACTTTACACGATAGCCATATTTTTATGTGAACTGAAAACATGTTACTAATTAAATAATACAAATTAATTATATTAATACAGACATTACGAAACTATTCCGCTTCGTCACTATGAGGAATGCAGCCTAGAGTAATACATCCAAATTGCTCTTGAAAGTATAAAATAAAAACAAAAGCATAAACTTCATTGAACGTGTGCTTTTGAAACTCAATTTACCTACATCCTTTTTATTTAGAGTTCACAAGTACAGGATTCATTTTAACCCGACAAGCTTAACTGATGTACATTGTTAGCAAGTAGTTTGTTAATAGGAATAAAATCGGTTTAATATATAAGTATATAAGTTTACTGAACATATTTATTTCTATAAAAACTATAGCAATTCCTAGTGACTGTACGTAGCCTATTTTGGCGTTCATAAGCTAAACACCGAGAAAAGAAGGCGTGCGATCTTCGATGGAGGTAGTAACATTGTAAGTGCCGACCTGCTCTCCATCTTTATACAATTTCACGACGTGTCGGCAAAGGCCGCGTGGCATTATGACCGGCCAACGCTTGACATTAATGGCGACGTTCTTCAAATAGTACGTCCCCTTTGGAAAAAGGCATGTATTGGTGCCTACAGATAAGTCGGTGTTAACTCCGTACTTAATGTTGTCCTTCATGTAGTCCCCGTGTTTCTTAAACAATGTGCAAATTCCTTGGCGTGGCAAGGATAAGGGCATCAGCTTGAAATTGCCGTCTCGAGCGGAATTGGTATAAATATCAATAGCCACTTCATAGTGTGTATCGTCCGAATCCTCAAGAATTTTGAAAGTTCCATTCAACATCCGCTCTCGGCCAATTAGTCGAATATTAGTTCCATCAAATGGTTGTGAGTTCGGTGAATAGTCGATGGATACAAAGTTAGCTTCATACGACATAGGAATCTGAAACTAAAATATTATAGAAATATATGAAACTGAATATCTCCCATTTTAAAATATTTTATATAAATTACCAGTGCTTTGGGGATCACCATGAGAAAAACGTACACTGTGTATATCCACATCACGGCGAGAGAACGATTTAACCATTGAAACCCAAACTTAATTCGGCTTTCCATATTTATAGCCAGCCTTTAGCTTTATCCACTCTATTTTACATTGATCTAACATGTTTTATACCATTTTATAATTGGAAATTATTTTTTACACCAACTTGACACGATATCCAATAAATGTGTTTACTTAGTTACATATTAAAAATATTTTATTAAAACTATTTTGCCTCGTCACTCCGAGGTCTAATACGAACTGTGATTATTTAATACTGCTTTTGAAAATCTTAAACAAAACCAATTCAACGAAACTAAACAGAAAACTTATCGAAAACTTCAGGATGCCATGCCCATAACCCTTTAGCATCAACTTATCTGTCACACTCCATCTCCAAAGTGGAATTGCTTCCATTTCCCCAACTCATTCACCCCTTGCAGCTTCTAATCTTTCTAACCATTTGGCCATTTTCAATTCGTTTTACCCCGTTCGGTCGCTTTTTTATCTGGCCACTTTCAAAATCAAATCTTACAAATTCACAACTGACAAACAAAAAAGGAGAAAAAAAACCAGTGAAAATAAGTGCGAAAAACCAGCAAAAGCCGACAGAAGAGGACTAGACAAAAAAAGAGCCAACACGAAAAATCTAATAAAAGAATAGCTCAAAATCGGTGTGTAAAAATCAAATAAACGCTGCAACTGCAACGGCATCCACCAAAGGGAAAGCTTGCCCCCAGCTGAGTTTTCTCTGGTCGGTAAAAAGTTTGTTTTTCGCCTTGCGCCAAGTTTTGTGCGTTTTTAAATGGCCCGAGCTGTGCTGCTACTGCTGCTGCTGGCCCAAACAAAAACGAGCAAGAAAAGCTGGGAAAACCATTGGAAACACATGTCCAGCCAGCGGACAAGGACAAGAGCCATGGATCCTTGGATCCATGGACCCCGGGAGCTGTGCAAATGTTTGTGAGCTTGGATTTCTTTTCGGTCATTACATTAAGTTGGCTATCTGTGGAGATTCGTAGCTGCACAAGCACACAAACTCCCCGATATCCGCATAAGTGGTATTTGTGCTTGTGCTTTCTGCTTTGGCTTGGCCCGCAGATGGGGAGCAACGGCTGCACCTAATGGTCAACGATTCGTAATATTTTTAATATTTGCTCAATAAAATGTCAGACAATTTCTGTCTCTGCCACTTAGACTCATTACATTTATTTGTACGGTTGTTGCTTTGTTTGTGCTTAGCAAGTTCTCTATAGCCATCGTAACTAGAGACCATGACCATGATAATACTCTTAAAAATTAGTATATTCCCTGTCAACTTTTGTTTTAAATATAGTATTGAAGTATAGCTTGTGAGGAAATTTTGTTTTGGAGGTGAAAAATGATTAAATAAAAATATAAATAATTTTGTATCCAAATAGTTATTAGGCTTCATTTTGTACGATAAGCCTAATTTTATAAAATAAAAAATAATAATAAATAAAATGGTGAGTAAATGTAATCATTTATATCCAGAATAAATTTTAAAATGTATAAAATATACCACTATTTACCTTTTCTTTTTATCCGTTTTTTAATGGACAAAAATATCAAATCCAATTAAATTAAGAAATATTTATACAGTAGAATCAAGCTAACTTACCGACTGCGTTATTTAAAAACAAACGTTATCCTTGGCATTTAATTTCGTTGGAGTATCCTTTAGAGTATATATTGATCCCCTTAAGGGAAGCCGAGACATTATTCTTCATATGCGTTGGCCAGGAAAAGCAGAGAATCCCGAGAGAACGGCAGCGTGTAATCCTTTTTGTAGTTGACGCAAATCCTGTTGCTCTTTGCCAAGTCATAAAGTTTAATTTAGTTTTAAGCCTTTCAACTGGAAAATTGCATGGCTGAGGGAGCGAGACAGGGACAGAGGCGGAGAGAGAGAGATCAACGAGTGCACACCACTTATCCCGCTCCCTCGCAACAACAAAGGCAAATGGCGTTGACCGCAGCCTGTCATTTTGTGTGAACGAGAGGGGGACGGAGATAGGACAGCCTGACGACTTGCTGCACTGCTCTAAAATTAACACACGTTTAATATGCAAGTCGTGCATAAATTGCGTTGTTGTTTTTGTTCCTGCTGCTGCCTGCCACCGGAAAGAAGAAGAATTTTCATCTTCTTCTTTACGCCTTTTAATTTGCCATCTGACGTCAGAGTGCAACAACAATGACCACATGTCAGCGCCCAGCGAGAAAATCCTGTGTGCACTTCTCTTATTTTCCCTGACACTTTTCGCCAAAGGGAAAATACGTGCCCGTCGTCTCGTTATCATCGTTATTCTTATTATTATCATCGTCATGGCGGCCGGACATTAATGTTGATGCGCTTTAATTGCCAATTGAGGCGATGGCCAGGTCCTTGCACTCGATCCAATCAGAAAACAGGCACTTAAAGCACCGCCGTCCACGTAATTTCATTACATATTGCCCACCGTTTACTCATACACTTATTCGCGCACTTTTTACATGTATTTCACACACGATTTTCTTATTTATTTGTTTATTGTTATTCCAGTACAAAAACGCAATAGATTCATTTCGCCGGCAAACGCAGAGTTGCACTTAGGTAGCAAGAGGCGTTAGTGCGTTTTTACTGAACAGTGTTGCAAAACGCCAAAAGTCAGGGCTTCAAGTTCTTTTTTTAAATTCTAGGAATCTTTTAGGCCGTTAAATGGCTGTATTGTCGAAAATTTAACATAAAATTTCAGCAATTGATGGTAACAACTCTGGTTTTCAACGATTCAACGACATTTTCAAAATCCTCGAGATTGTTGAATTGCTGAAATTTCTGAAAGTTGACTATGTTTGGAACTGCTGTTTAAAAGCTGACCAAAATTCAACTATTCAGTAAGTCAACAGTTTAGTGAATTCCCTTACAGTTTTTAACGAATTGAAAGCTTTGAAAACATTACTTATCTATGGAAATAACAAATTTTAATTTTCTCCTTTGGCCAATCTATTCTCCCTAATTTATGTATTTTCGCCCATTTATGCCTGTTTTTGGAGCAGACGCGATTTCCGCATTTTTGAGACAGTGCCAAATTTCTTGGCAGTCGCATTAACGGCAAATGTTGCCAAGTAAATTGGCATAAAACAAATCGGCGTCGTCATCGTTATTATCGCTCCTCTTCCTCCGCCGCCTAATTAGATTGTTCTGGCAGCTCAAAAACAACTGGCGAATAGCAGTCGAAAATTGTTAAATAATTTAAACCGAAATTAGCGGCCATTTTGGGTGTGTGCGTGTGTGTGCGCAGACAAAACAGCATGAAAATAAAAATTGTAACCAATTTCATGCATAACAGTTAAATAAAATTTAATTTAGCAGAAAAACGAAGCAAATGCGAGTTAAAACGGGGAAAAAGCGAAAAAGAAACAGAAACTGCACAAATTGCCAAAAGAAATAAAAATCACAACCAGATGAAGAGGGAAGTTAACAGTCGCGGCCACAAAAAGTGTTTAATTCAACATTTAAACATTGAATGTTGTATATGTACATAATATAATTAAAATAAATAAAAATTATAATACAATTTAAATATAATCTAATACAGATAAAATCGTACTAAATCTGGTTAACCCAGTCTTGAGCAAAATTGATCAATTTAAGATATAAGGACAAAACGATAAAATAAATGTATTTTTCCTGTTTAAAAAGTAATTTTTTTTCCAAGAATATGTTCAATTTATCCATGTAAAAATTATTATTTTTTACCTCAGTTGTAAGTGGGAGAAATGGTAGAAAAGAGAGAGTTTCAGAAAATAGACAACGCAAAATGCGTCGGCCATAATGAAGACTTCATATTTGTGTAGCAGCAGCAACAAATGAATGCCGTCAACATTTATTATTAATTTTAATATTTCAAAGAGCTCCGGCCAGCCAAACAAAAACAAAAACACTTAAAAAGAGAACGCCACTTTTCTTTTTGTCCACCAATAGCTGCTGGGCTTGAAGTGAAAAGGAAGTAGGCAGCTGGAATGCTTTGGCAAAGAGCCGACACACTAATTTAATGGCTTTTTTTGTTTGCCAATAAGAAATGGCCGCATTTAAAATGAAAATGCAATTTTTGACATATAATTTAGAAATTTACAAACCACTCTTTACACCTCTCGTTGGCCGCCAGGGACAACAATTAACTTTTAAACCATTGCCAAAGGTGCACAAATTTAATCAATTTATTTCGAAATAAATGGCACTAAATGCATGTGAAAATTAGAATTTCATCAAGTGAAAACATTTGGCTTCGAGCCTAGCCTGAAGTTTTAAGCTAACATTTGATTGTTTAACGAAATTAAAATGGGTTCATTTATTAACCAAAAACAACTTGAAGACCAAAGTTGACAAGAACTTTAAATATGGTCTTAAATTGTTTAATTTGATTTTTTTAAATTGCTGCATTTAATTTAAAGATAAAATATTGGTAAGCCCTTGCATTAATATTATCATATTTCTATATTACTTGCCATAGAAAACATCCAATTAAAACCGATGTGAAATATACTTAAAGAACAAAGTCACACATTAAATATTTCCTTTGTCTAAGCTGTGCAGTAAACGATCTGTCATCTTGTAAATTGCGCGTGTTAAAAATGCCAAAAAGAAGCCAAAGCAAAAAATCAAAAGACAAAACGAACTTAATTTCAACGACAACCAAAAAATAAATGGATGCAAAAAAAAGGAGCTTTAACAAGGAGAAAGGAGCAAAGAGAAAAGGGACCAAAAAGGCATCAACAATGAAAACCACAAAGCGGCGCTTTTGTTTGCCAGTGTCGCATGCAGTCAATCTATATATATATATATATATATATGTACGTATGTGTGTGTGTCGCCTGCCAATCAACTCAACAATCGCAATCAATTTGCCCCGCTGCATAGCCCCTCTATCCACCCCTTCGTCTGATTTTCCCCACCCCATTTTCCATTTCGGGCGCATTGTCGTGGTGCGAGTGCAACTGTCATTTCAAGCACAATCTCTGCATATGCTGAAGGGGGTAGAGGTCGGTGGGATACGTGTGATATATCAGTGAAACCGAAAAAAAAAAACACAAAAAATAATGCCCATGGCGCCGCAGTGCACTTTTTAATTACGATACTGCGACATTAAGGACCGCAGACGTTACATGCATGAATCATTGCCCCAAGATGTTTACAAAACAGCGAAAAGAAAATGTATTTTTTTATAACGGTGTCCCTAAAGTCGAAACTTTAAAGCATGAAATATTCTGTGGCTTATTATTATCCTTTTTATTTTATTAAAAAAATCATAGAGTACTTCTAAATTACAGTAATCGTTTATTTTTAAGATATTTCTTTTAGTTGGTTTTCCCTACGTACAGGTCGCCCCAAAGTAGGCTTTAAAATTGTCCAAATTTATGCACATTATATGCGAATCAAAATCGTAATCATAATACGCATACGCAGCGTTGTACCCGCATACACACACACACGCGCTCGTAAATTTGCCAAGCATTGTTATGCTAAATTTATTTGCCCTCGCAGCCATCTGTTGTTGCTGTGTTTTCGGTGTTGTTGTTAACTTCATCAGAAGTGCGATTGAAACGCAGCTTCCGTTTCCGCAAAATGGCTGTCAATGTGTGTGAGAGGTGGGGAAATGAAAGAGCGGGAAAATTCCACTTTGCCTGCAAACAAATCAACTTGAACTTCCGTTTCATTTCGCTTTTCTTGCCATTTCATATTCTTTTGCAAGTTCACCCTGCTCACCGCTCTGCTCCGAAAAAAAAACAACCCACTCAACTCTCAATTTTTATTTTCCCTTTACTGTGCATTTCGGCGACTTTAGCGTAAATTTACTTTTCACTTTCAGCGCGCCATCAAAAAAGTTTTTGTGCATAGCTAACTTTTTGGCTCACATTACGTATATTTTTCATATTTTTCCGTGCTTCACTTGCCTTGCCCCTCGCTCAATGTGTCTTTTCAATGTCATTGCACACACTCTTACACAAAAAGAAAATTTTCAAACTTCAATTTGAACAAGAAAAATAAAAGTACAACATATTCAAGAATAAATAAAAGACAAATTAGGAAAATTTTAAAAAATCTGTTTTTAGATATTAATTGCGAAACGAACTCTGATGAGAAATCTAAACAATATTTAAATTTCTAGAAAAATAATTTTTATCTGACATCATTTTCATTATTTTTTCGCTGTGTTCTGGCACACTTGGAAAAGCTTTCGTGTGTGTTTCGCGCGGGGAAACTCTGTCTTTTTGGCATTTCATTTCCTTCATTTCAGCCGTTTTGCACCTCGGAGCGGTTTCCTTTCTTTCTTTTTTTTGCGGCGTGGACGTGGGCGGATGGTACAATGGCACTCCTTGTGTTTTTCTATCCTGACTCACTCTTTCTGACTGATTTTTTCCGCGACCCAAGTTGTTGCTGCTTAATTTAATGCTCGAGTGCCTATTTAAATTTTCGTCCCTCATCGTCTGCATTTCCAATTTTGTATTGTCATTTACGTTTGGTTTATATTTTCCTCTCGTTTCCCAGCGAAATCAATCAGCGACCGGCACGTGTGTGCATTGATAACGTGGCCAATAATAGAAGAGCGAAATGTATTTTTGGCAGCCCATGAAAATACATCTCAACTTTTCGATGCGAGTTAGCAATTGTTTGTGCGATGGTTGGAAAAGATGAAAACAATTTTGTGCAGCATGCTGTTAGGGAGTAATTTGCTGTTTTGGCGTCGGAAATGGTGGAAGAACAATGGAAATGGATGCGGAGGCAGAAATTCAAATGTTTGGCAATTACAACTGTTTGTTGGAGATAATTAAATACATTGGTTGAACTCAATCTGCAGAGATTATAGTCTCTTAAAGGGGGATTCGAGATTCGGGAAACAATGTGGAAGAATACGAAATCTTTAAATTTCAAAATTAAAGTGGAATTCAGAAAAGGGAATCTAAAACTTATTATAATACAACAATATATAGTAACAATACATTTTTTTTAAATGAAGAATTTTTAAAAATTTTTCGAATTTTATTTTCTTGTTATTTTAATTCGTGTATAATCTAACTGTCATTCTTGAATTTGTGTTTCGTTAAAACTAGAGAACTACATTTCTAGTTACGTTTAACTTTTCCGTCCTTAGTTTTCTTACCCCCAGATAATATTTTCTTAAATAGCTTAAATATGGCAAAAGGCAGTCCAATTAGCAGAAAGATCACTGCTCCAAAAATAATAAGCAGTACGTCCACATTGTGATACTGCCACCAATTCAGTCTTTGGGCCGCACTCTGCAAATAGGCAGCTCCTTGATGGCGGGTCACATGTTCCACCCAGTAAATGGCCGTCTCCAGGGGTGTATTTTGCTGATCCCGATATCGGAAGGACATGCCCTGAACCAATTTCGTATACGAGGGCTCACTTGTAATCCTCTCGATGGCTTCCCTGAAATCTTTGGCATTCAGCGTCTTGAAGTCCAGCATGATACCATAGCCAGTTTGCTCGGCATGAGCCATATTGAAGAACTGATCGCTAAAGATAGGCAACCCTATGACGGGTTTGCCATGATAAATGGACTCCGTGGTGCTCAGCATTCCGCCGTGGGTCACAAAAGCCAGGACCTTCGGATGGGCCAGTATGTCAGTCTGAGGAAACCAGTCGGAGATGTAGACATTCTCTGGTTTATTGGGCAGATCCTCTAGCTCGAACTTCCACAGAACTCGCTGTTTTAGTCCGCTAAATGCTCTCAGGATCTCCTGAACCTTTGCTGGCGGTAGATCCTTACTCTTGAGATTCGACCCCATGGAAAAGTAGACTGCTCCATGTTCTGATTCGTTAATAAATCTTTCGATCTTCTCCGGCAGCGGACTTAACTTTCCATCGATATGCATGCCACCCACTTCAATCATATTGGGTGAATACGGTCGCGGGAAACTCAGGGACACGTGCTGATTGATGAGCACTAGAGAGGCATTTCGGCGCATCTCATAGAAACACCTTTTGTTTCCCGGAAAGAACTCTTTGTACAGTTGCTCCTGCCCTGGCAAATAATAATAGTCCAGTAGAAATCGTTCATAGGCCAAGAAAGCTACGTTGAGAAGGCGTTCGTAAAGCGACATGTGATCGTTAAAGGGCAACATTATATGAGGCACAAACGAAGCTGGGGCGGGAGAACCAACCTGAAAAAGAAAAATTTAAATTAATTACATTTTTCATTTTCATTAATATAAATTAAACTATTTAATAAAATTCAAGAATATTAATTCACAATAAGGTATTGCGTTATTTTTCGAAATTAAGATCACCTTATCTTACATTGTTGTAAAATTCAAATATTGTTTACTTACCATATCTGTGATAAAAGTCAGACCTCCACCAGTGCTCAATCCAATTAGTGGGGCATTGAAATGCTCTGCCAAACCATAGTGAGCATCATTATAAAAGGTCTCACAAATGACCGCATCGAAAGTTTGGTTGCTCTTCAAAAGGGCCTCGAAATTGGTGTCCTCAAAAAGTCCTCTTGTGATGCGGAATCCCATTTGATAGTGATCAATAAGCTTCTGGGTCAGTGGCTTCTGGATGGATTCCCACAGGGCGGCAATGTCTCCTGATAAAAAACAATGAATTTTAATGAAATAAAGCAAAATCAAAACAATGCTTATTTTTTACTTACCCCCCATGACTTTAAACACATTTGGTACATTTATGTCGTGATATCGATCCATAGGTTTCTTCAGTGGATAGACGGAAACCACAGTGATCTCATGGCCAGCTTGGACCAATCCCTTGGCCAAGGCATGACCCACATTAAAGTGCGACCGGCCGGCGGAATTTAGAATCATTAGGAAATTGTAACCACAAGAGTAACCGAGGCTAAGTATTAGCACTAAGATCAAGGTAAATAAACGCATGGTGATGAAAATCGATGGAGGAACTTATAACCGAACCGAACAGAGCACGTTGCTACAACACACTGAGAATGTTTGGCGAGGGCAGCATAAACTTATATAGATATCAGAGTATATATATATGGATGTATACACACGATTATTGTGAAATTCTACTTTTGCGTGAGGCTCAGCATGGAGTGGACAGAAGCCAAATGGCAAACACAGTATTTTGATTGTGGAAAATCGAGTATGTCAAGTCGGCTGTCGAATGGGCTACAGTCGAAAGTGTACGCTTTCGATTTTATGAATATAAGTTTTTTTTTTATTTCTTAAATATTTGTACTATAAAATCTAATATTTTGTTGCTGAAATTATACAACAATTTATTTAAATCAAATATTTTGAAGTGTAGTGTCAAGAGCCAAATATGATCAATCAGCATTTGAATTAAAGCACTTAAGTTCTCGAGAGAGAGAGCTCACAAACACAAAACTTGTTTGACTCAACTCAAAGCTTTTTGGTAAGAGAAAATGTAATTGAACAAAGAGTAAATTGATTTTAAGAGAAAAAACTATATCTTAACCAAACAAAATAATAAAGGAAGAAACACAATTGTTTATTATTTAATTGACAACATTTTGGACCAATTAATTTCCTAAAACATAAATTTTTTTAATAAAATGTTTTAATAATTTAAAAATTTTATTTCTTTCCTTATATAATATATTAAAACATTTTTATCAATGAAAATGAATGCAGACAAAGGTGGGACATTTTGTAAATAGCACTGTGTACATTGTACGGCCTAGCCACTTCAAACGTATCACTAATCCACTCACAACTGTTCTTATCAAATACTATAACTAGCAGTGAGAAAAGTAGTCGCTCTTCAGTCTGCTTAGAACTTCTGAAAGAGCTGTCGCAATGCGTTGGCTACCCAATTCCTGGCTTTTTCTGTTGGCCACATTTTTGGGCCAGACATGGGGTTATTCCTACCTGTTGGTGAGCCATACTGCATCGAAATCACATCATGCAGTTGGTTTCGCCTTGGCCAAAGGTCTGGCTAACGCCGGTCATGAAGTCACTTTGATATCACCATTTCCCCAGAAGAAGCCTGCTAAGAACCTAATCGATATAGACACGCCGAATGTTATCACCGTGATGGGAGGTGAGTCCTAAGATTTCTTTAGATTAGTTCATTAAAACCTTTTTCCCGATCTGGCACGTATTGCTTATCGTCTGGCGTAAGCTACGCGTCATATGATAAGATACACGTGTGAATTAGCTGATTACCAGTGGGTCAACAACGAAATTATTGTTATTGTTTATTGGTTCATATTTAAAAAATCATATTAACCAAAAAATGTTTGATTTTTCCATAGTTCACAAGGCAAGAATTCTGGAAAATGCCAAGAAGCCGGTGATTTTGCGCTACCCAACAATGAGTGCCATGGGTTTGGATTTGACAGAAGCTCTTTTCAAGGCGCCGGCAGTGCAGGAGTTACTGGCCCAAAACCGAACCTTCGATGGAGTCATCTGTGAGACCTTCATGAACGACGCCCACTATGGGTTTGCCGAGCACTTTGGAGCTCCCTTGATTACCCTGAGCACTTTGGGAGCCACTGGCTGGACCTCTGATCTGGTGGGCACTCCGTCACCAGCCTCGTATGTGCCGCATAATTTACTGCGCTTCGGTGACCACATGAACTTCTGGGAGCGAGGCCAGAATCTTGGATTCCAGATTTACGAATTTATCTACCAGAATTTGATCAATCTACCCAGGCATGAGGTGCTGTACAGGAAATATTTCCCCAACAACAAACAGGACTTCTATGAGATGCGCAAGAGTACCTCGTTGGTGCTACTCAACAATCATGTTTCGCTCAGCAATCCGCGACCCTATTCTCCAAATATGATAGAAGTTGGTGGGATGCACGTCAATCGTAAGGCCCCAAAGCCACTGCCCAAGAATATCCGGGAATTCATCGAGGGAGCCGAGCATGGTGTCATCTACTTCTCATTGGGCTCCAATTTGAACAGCAAGGATCTGCCCAAGAAGAAGCGAAAAGCCATTGTGGAGACTCTGAGGGGCCTGAAGTACCGAGTACTTTGGAAGTACGAGGAGGAGAGCTTTGAGGACAAACCCGAAAATGTTTTTGTATCCAAATGGTTCCCCCAGGATGATATCCTGGCTCACGAGAAAGTGATTGCCTTCATAACGCATGGCGGACTTTTGAGCACCATGGAATCGATTTACCATGGCAAACCCGTCGTGGGAATACCCTTCTTCGGTGATCAATTCATGAATATGGCCAGAGCAGAGCAATCGGGCTATGGAATCACTGTGAAATATGCTCAACTAAATGCTCCTCTATTCCGATCCGCCATCGATCGGATTACAAGTGATCCCAGCTACCGGGAACGGGTCAAGGTCATGTCCAACCAATTTCGGGATCAGAAGGAGACGCCACTGGAGCGCGCTGTTTACTGGGTGGAGCATGTGACTCGGCAGAAGGGAGCCAAGTACCTGAGAAGTGCCTGTCAGGACCTCAACTTCATCCAGTACAACAACCTGGATGTCCTGGCCGCATTCTTTTCCGTTTTTGGCCTATCTCTTATTTTTGCCTTTCTAACAATACGATTTGTGGTAATCAAAGTAAAAAACAGTCTATCAAAGCCAAAGAGTTCAAAAGAGAAAAACAACTAGTTTTAGGTATAAATATGCATTTAGCTAAAATTTTAGTAAATAGTAACTTGAGAACATTACAAATACAAAAAGACAAAGCCTACACAGATACTAACTAAGCATATTAGAATTAACTTATATAAAGAATTAACTTGCTTGTATAATATTGTATAATATCCGTTGCTTGTAAAATATATATATACCTACAACAAATTAAAGATTACAAATATAATTTAAAATTTTATTTAAGAAATTATCAATTCAAATAATTTGAATAATTTAGAAAAGCTGTGGAAATCCAAACAGAACTAAACTCGAAACCATTTTCCCATTCTAATGTCAATAATAGATTACAAATCAGTGGCGGATCTAGGATTTTGTGGTGGGGTGTGATATCAGAACAATTTTTTTGCTGCATACTTGTTGAATACCAAAATTCCTTTTGAATTCTTAAGAAAATTATCAAAGCATATTATATGTATTATATAGAAAATCTGTGGCTTAAAAAATGTATTGTTGTATTTTTAAATCGATTTTTGAATATTTTTAAAATTGTCAATACAATTTAATAAAATCAATTAAATTTCTTTACTAAAAATAATTTCTTATATGTATGCAGTATGTAGGTATGTAAAGTTATCCAAACAAACATTTTTGTCAAATCATGATTCAACACCACCACTCGTCCGAAAGAAAAGAGAAACACAAACCGGCCGATAAAGCCGGTAAACAAAACAAAGCAAATGAGAATAGAGAATAGAGAATAACACCATATCGAAAACTGATTATGGAGGCGGTGGAGAGTGAGAGAATAAAGCGGAGTTATACAGATATTCGATCGTGCGAGGCGTATAAAATATTGAACAGGGGGTTTTCGGCAGCGTAACGATGATGAGAGATCGTGAACATAATATTGCTGGTCATTTGAGATATAGAGAATGAGAGAAGAATATATTGAAATTCCCTCTCTTCAAATGTCGTTGGAACCTAGCCCAACCGCTTATAATTACCTCATCGCGGGCCCCTGTTAGCTCAGTTTATTCCGAGGCGCCAAGGCGTCCGCACCTACCCCTATATCAGTTCCATAGAGCACGATCGTCGGCCGATAAGAACGCATTTCACAACTGGCAACGATTAAGTCAAATTAATTGTTTGGAATTAGTAGTTTGGAAAACTGAAAATGAAACCAACAGCTGGCCAAACGAGTTTTCTGGCCCTGCTGCTGCTCTGCCTGCTGAGCTGCGTGTCTGCCTACAACTACCTGTGCGTTCTCCACACCGCTGCCCGATCCCATTATCATGTGGGATCTGCCCTGGCCAAGGGATTAGCCAGCGCCGGGCATCAGGTCACCATTGTCTCCCCCTTCGCTCTGAAGAAACCCATCAAAAACATCAAAGATGTGCATGTCAAGAGCATTCTGGCATCCATGGAAGGTGAGTTTCGATGTTAAGTATTACAACATTTTAGTTGGGAAATTTCTGTAATTCTAAAGTAATGCAATTCAATCATTTATCAATGCAATGTCTTTATAAATTCCAGTATGAGTTCTTGGTTCAATGAATTGACAAGGCCTTATACATTATAATGTGCCGGGTGTGATCTGATGTAATATCAAATTGAAGCAATTCTAATGTAATTTAAACTATCAACAATGAAATTTCTTTATTAGTTTCAAGGCCAAATCTTATCGTTGTCCAACAAATCAGTGTTTCATAAAAAGTTCCCTTCAAACAAAATTCATTCTTTAATTCTGTAATTATAAAATATTAATGTTCTTTATTCGGGTTTGGAAGGCTATACATGTTGTTATTTATAAATTTGGAATAATGGAATAGTTAAATTTGTCTAAACCGGTTCTGTTACACTTTAGTGGTTCAGAATATTTCTTTTATAATTATGCAAAAGCCATCTCTCTCTAGCTATGACACACATATTTACGAATGTTTTATTTATTTACACTACAATGTTACTTCAGCTAATAGGTTTTCCATATAGAAAGTGTTATTTAGAAGGAAAACATTTCACCAATAAAATAACAGTTGCATAAACTACTTGAAAAAACAATCGGTCAGTCTTCCACTTGAGCTTTACCACAATCTTTTGCTTGCTATCACGAATTTGATAGCAATGTAATACATGCTGAGCGCATTGGGCTATCAATGCATGAAATCGTCAGTCATTCAATTTAAGACTTATTTGTTATACAATTTCAGGAAGAATGGCCAACCTGTTGGAATCATCCAAGAGGCCAATAATCGAGCAGATAGTTAATTTCCATGAGATGGGCATTGAAATTACCGAGTTGCTGCTGACGGAACCCTCTGTGGTGGAGCTTCTGAAATCGAATCAGACCTTTGATGCTGTGATATCCGAGGTTTTCCTAAACGAAGCACATTTCGGATTTGCCGAGCACTTCAAGGCCCCGCTTATAGGACTTGGCACTTTTGGGGCAATTAGCTGGAACACAGATCTGGTGGGTTATTCAGTGAAAGAGTTATATGAAAGGTGTGTTATTAATGGACTTTTTATTAATTCTTTAAGGTGGGATCTCCTTCACCGCCCTCATATGTTCCCAATGCCCTGTTGAAGTTTAGTGACCACATGTCTCTCGCCGAGCGAGTGGGAAATCTGGCCTTCCTCACCTACGAATATATCTTTCTGAACTACTTCTATCTGCCGCGTCAGGAACTGCTGTACAGCAAGTACTTCCCCAACAACAAGCAGGACTTTTACGAGATGCGCAAGAACACGGCCTTGGTGTTGCTCAACCAACATGTATCGCTCAGCTTCCCACGTCCCTATTCGCCCAACATGATCGAGGTGGGCGGTATGCATATCAACCGAAAGCGCCAGCCGCTGCCCAAGGACATTCAAGAATTTATCGAGGGCGCAAAGGATGGTGTGATATACTTCTCGATGGGTTCCAATCTCAAGAGCAAAACGCTTCCTTTGGAGAAACGTCAGGCACTGATCGACACCTTTGCCCAGCTGAAACAGCGTGTGCTGTGGAAGTTCGAGGACACTGATCTGCCGGGAAAGCCAGCTAATGTCTTCATTTCGGACTGGTTCCCCCAAGACGACATTCTGGCCCATGACAATGTCATAGCCTTCATCACCCACGGCGGTCTGCTGAGCACCACGGAATCCATTTACCACCGCAAACCCTTCGTGGGCATTCCAATCTTTGGCGATCAATTCTTGAATATGGCTCGCGCCGAACAGAATGGTTATGGAGTGACGGTCCATTACGAAGATCTGACATCTGACAAACTTTTGGCAGCCATTCAGCGACTAATTCAAGACCCAGAGGCCAGCAAGAAGGTGCGCGACATGTCCGACAGGTATCGGGATCAGCCCCAGACTCCATTGGAGCGCGCTGTTTTCTGGGTGGAGCACGTTTCCCGGCACAAGGGTGCCAAGTACCTGAGGAGCGCCTCCCAGGATTTGAACTTCATTCAATACCACAATCTGGATGCCATCATAATCCTATATGGCGGCATTATATTCGTGCTTTATTGCATTTTCTTGCTTATCCGTTGGGTGTGGCGACTATTGCAGGAACTGTTTGTGAAGAAGGAAAGTCCCAAGCCGAAAAAGAAATCCAAACAGAACTAAACTCAAGTGATAATTAACACTAGTATTCATGACCAGTTTATAATAAGGGTGCTAAGAAAAAGGTGTTTACAGTAGTGCAATTCTTCTATTTAAAATATATTTATAAAATGGGAATCCCAATATCCGAAATTCAATCCAGCATTCCAGAAATAATTGTAATAAACTCTTTAATTTTCTTTCCATTTTCCCATTCTAATTGCTCACAATAAAATACAGTATCTATGGGTTTTTCAATAAACTGTCTTCGAATTTGCAACCATTTGGTGTTGGTGGGAAAAGCTCGTGAAAATTTTATTTGATTTTACAAAGGGGTTGTGCGGTTGCTTTCGGCCTGCGGCTTGAAACTTGTAAACTAAAATGGAAAATATTGTGAACTTCTATCGAAAAAAATTCAACGTTGCCTTCCCATTTTCCTGGGTCTCCTTTTTTATTCTCTGCAGCTTACACTTTCATTTATGGCTGTGTACTCTTGTTAAGAGGAATAAATTTAATAAAATAAAATGTGTTGGTAAATAATGTAATTTTCTAAACCCAGGAAAGTCTTAGAAATTATTCACCATATTAATGTTAATTAGATTATGTTTTACTAAGGGTACACTCATAGAAATTTTCCGGTAAAATCGCCCTAAAAACAGGGAAAATCGCCCTAAAACGGGGGTCAATGGCGACTAGGCAACAAAATTAGGGCAAAATGCCCTAAAAATACGGGTGAATTTGTCACACATTTAGGGCGATTTTTCGTAGATCTAGGGCGATTTTTCTATTTTCAAAGGTAATTGCCCTAAAAATAAGAAATGAGACCCTTAAACTAAAGGCAGTTTCCTTTAAATCCAGGGAGATTTTTCTGGACTTATAGGCGAATTGCCCTGGAAATCGGAAAAAATACCTTTAAACTAAAGGCAGTTTATTATAAATCAAGGGTGTTTTTCTGGATTTTAGGGCGAATTGCCCTAGAAATAAGGAAAAATATCCTAAAACTAAAGGCAGATTTTCATAAATCTAGGGCGTTTTCTCTGGATTTATAGGCGAATTGCCCTAAAACATGCAAAATGCTCCCCAAAATTTTACGGCCATTTTTCATAAATAAAAATACGATTTCATTATATTTTTTTTTATTTGTTTTTTATATTTTTGTTTGTCGTTATTTACACAATTTCTAATTATATACATTTACATACTTTTCTACTTATTCTTATTGCTAAAAGAATTACATCGATCTTAATTTTTTGGCTTAATGTATTTTTTGGTCTTTAGGTTGTGTGCTTCCGCCGGAGGGAATTTTAGGTCTTACTGATTATCAAATTTTACTTCTAATTGAATGCATAGAAATAATACTTTTTTTTGGAATGAACAGATTGTTTCTTTAAAATAGTTACAGTTTTAAGGTTTTATAATCCTTCAAGAGTTCGGATAAAGCTTTACCTTTCTTATCAGACTCTAAATGAATTTCATAAAACATTTTTTGGATAAATGTCGTGGTTTAAAACAAAAAATATTTTGAAGCACACATCAATACTTTTCAATAAGGTTGGCATTCTATAAATAAATCTCTGATAGGTAAACTGGAAATTCACCAAGGTCAAAAAGGGCTTGTTCCCACGTTGCAGCTGAATGGTTGCAGTTTCGGCTTTCCGGATTAGCAATTTTCCGTCAATGCCTTTAGATGTGTTTGCAGTTCCCCAACAGTAGCCTTCCAAACCAAGAAACGGCTTCGCGGGTCCGCAATGTTGTGCTTCGCGTTCTTGCTCCCGCCGTCCTTTTTTGTCATTGCTGTCGCACCAACACTGAATGGATCGCAAGCCAAATTAAAGTTGATTGTATCTCTATTAAATAAAAACAGTCTATTTATTGAATGAGAAAAGAAAAAGAGAAAAAGCACATACCTTCAGCGTGGCTTTCCAAAGATTTGAGCAGTTTTATTCCCTTACTTTCGCTTTTAAAAAGTGCGAAAAGTGGTTTGCGGAAGCTGGATCTCAAAGACGTTCTCAATCTAAAACAAGAAATAAAATTGTTAGAAATTAATATAAAAATGCACTACTAACAGTCAGAATTTTCATTTAGCCTGCGATTGCGTTTGCTGCTACTTCTGGAAAAAAGAAGCAACAAAAGCAAATTTCGGTTACTGACGAAATGACGCAATAGAAATTTGGGGGTTATTTTGGCATATGCACTTGTGAATGCGGTTTGTCCGGTGCATAAATACAGATTTCTGGTAAATATATACATCTGTATACATGTGTATATTCTGTTGCATCATTTTTTTACCTCAAGCATTATTTACATATACACATACATATATGTATACTCTTATTAATGTTCTTACTTTGTTCTGCCATACTTCCAAAACTCTACATCTGGACCGCTGCTTCCAGTCAAATCTTTTTAAGTTTCAGCTGCATTTTCCTCTGTTACAGATATGTAAATTCAATTAGTTATTAATATCCAAATTGCACAATTATATATGTATGTACTCACCAGAAAACAGAGAAAGAATCGCCTCCCAAGTCCTTTAATAGCGTTTACATTTTTCACTTCTTCACAAACAAAAGGTTTCACAAACACGTCTTTCGCCGCCAAGCGCCCGAAAAATTATGACAAAGTCTAGACAATGCAACTCTTTCTACTCCCACCCTTGCCACTGCAACGGACGAAAAGTAGCAAAGAAGAAGAAAATGGGTGGACTTCTCTAAAGTCAAATGCGCTCAGCATCAAAATTCATAGAAAAAGGTCCGCCCTAATATACACACACATTCACTTGTTTTGACCTGCCAACCACACACACATACACACATATTACATATGTATCCATTAATTGCGTCTTAGAATTTCGTTTGACTCTTCCTTGTTTTTAGGGCAATTTCAGAACATATTTTTGGCTATTTTGTTCTGCGTTTTAGGGCGATTTCGCCCTAAAAAAGAAGGAATTACTTTTGGAGTCGACTCATAAAAATTCGCCCTAAAAAACAGGGCAAATTTGGCGTTTTGGAAAAACTAACCCTAAAAAAAATTTTCCATGGCGATTTTTCGTATATTTAGGGCTAGCCACCCGTATAATAAGAAAATTTTTCGTAGTTTTAGGGCGACCTCGGTTTTAGGGCGACTTTTCTAGTATTTAGGTAAAAATTTCTATGAGTGTATGTGCAGTTTCGATCTAGTTGTGATAATTTTTCTTTGTTGGGTCCTATTTTCAACCACTCTCTGCTTTCCTCCTACTGCTAGTTGCACATAGTTAACGCTTCAGTTGTAAAAATGCCCATCAGCGCGTTCAAATTTTTAACAGCAACCAACTGAGTGCCACGCCCACTCCCACCGAACGCCCCCATGCCACTCCCACTAACGCCTCCGGCTTAATGCTTTTATTTTCTTTGCCGTGCATCTTCCCCTTCTCTTTCCACTTTTTTGCCCGGCAAAAGGCGTGTAAAAGTTTTGGCCCAACTTATTGAAACTGTTTTGGGCCATGGCCGTGCTGCTGGAAAATCAGCGTCCGTCGCGGAAATGTTGGCGGCTTTAATGCCAATCCGGCTTAAGAGTGCAGCCAAGGAACTACTGTTTTTGTGGTACAATTTCAAGTTGTAAGGAAAGTCTTAGAAATAATACTGGCCCCAAATTAAGTAATCTCAAATCCCGGATTTATTTTACTAAAATAAGTACGAAATTTAATTTGAAAAAGGTTTATTAAATTATATTATTATATTATTCGAAATTCTATTATATTTTTCACACAGAACTAGGCCTGCGTTTGTTTTTTTTTTCATAAGCTTGACGGGTAATTTTCCTAAGGTTGAGAGGTTGCAATCCAGGGCAGTAACTTAGAATTTATAAAGAAATAATAAATTCAATTGAAAGAAAAAAAGGTAATTAAAGTTTTTTTATTTATCCTTTTTTACAAATTTTAATGATTTATGATGTCACAAAAATTAATGGATCGGTATAAACTTATCTTAATATTTAAACTGACTTTTATATATTACTCTATTTTATATTGTAAAGCCAATAATTTGTATGCAGCTTTTCTCATGTTCTTATCTGAAGCGACTATTCAACTGTTCACCATCGTCTTGTATAGGTAAAAATCTATATAAATAGAGACGACCAGGTGATCTTGTTATTATGTCAGATCAGTTCACAATCATTGCTGGGTAAAGCCCCAAAGTGTTGTGTATAAAAGCGGCAACGGAAACTTTTACGACTCAGTCTAAGGAAGGCGGCAAGATGATGAAGTTCATCTTAGTGGAACTGCTGGTTCTGCTGGCGAGCTCATCGGTTTTCTCCATCGAAGTGGACACGGACTTGGGACGAGTGCGCGGTGCTAATCTGACCTCCAGATTGGGCTTGACCTTCCATGCCTTTCGCGGCATTCGGTATGCCGAACCTCCCCTGGGGGAACTGCGATTTCTGAATCCCCAGCCCGTGAAGCCGTGGTCTCCGAAAACCTTCGATGCCACTGAAGATGGACCGATGTGCCCGCAACCGTGGGACAATATGACGGATGTTTCCGAGGACTGTCTGCGCTTAAATGTGTACACAAAGGATTTGAAGGGGCGACGACCGGTGATAGTGTTCCTGCATCCCGGAGGCTTCTATGTTTTCTCCGGACAGAGTAAATATTTGGCCGGACCCGAGCACTTCATGGATCGCGATTGTGTGCTAGTCGCGCTAAATTACCGGCTGGGCAGCTTGGGTTTCCTGGCCACTGGAACCAAGGAAGCTCCTGGCAACGCGGGAATGAAGGATCAGGTCCTGGCATTGCGCTGGATCCAGAGGCATATCCATCGGTTTGGTGGGGACCCCGGCAGTGTGACCCTTTTGGGATACAGTGCGGGCAGTATCAGCGTAGCTCTGCACATGCTATCGCCCATGTCGCGGGGTCTCTTCCATCGGGGAATCGCCATGAGTGGTGCGCCATATAACCCACTCCAGTATCAAAACAATGATATTCGGCTGGCCAAACGACAGGCTGGTCTACTAAAGTGTCCCCAGGAACCGGTCAAGGAAATGGTCGAGTGTATGAGGCAAAAACCCTACTTGGATTATGTAAACACCTTCAAGGAAATGTTTGAGTTTAGCGGGCATCCCATACTGAACTGGAAAATCGTGGTCGAGGAGGATTTTGGCCAAGAACGCTACCTCATCGAGAGTCCCTTCAAGACAGCTCGACGTGGTGACTTCTACAAGGTTCCCATCATTACTGGTATTACGGAGTTTGAATTCCTTTCTCCAGCCATTTGTAAGTAATGAGTATGAATCCATTAGGATATTATAATCTAAGGCAGTCTTTTTCAACGTCCTTCAGATCATCTGCGAAATGAAAGCATTGTGAGGAACTACAACCAGAACTGGGAACACTTTGCACCTATTCCCCTGATTTTGGAACGTAACTCAACACAATCGCGAGTTGGCAGTCGAGTTTTGAGGGATAAATATATGCCTGAGAGTAGGGGCAAGCTAGAATACCCGAAATCCGTCAAGGGCTTGGGAGAACTCTACAGCGATGCAATAATTGGAGTGTCCTTCAATCGGTTTCTTCGCTTAATGGCTCCCCACACACATATTTACACCTATCTGTTTCGGTACAAGGGAAGATATAGTTTCTTAATAAATCCCGATAACCAACAAGCTATGGGTGAGCAGATAGTTTATATATTTTTAGGTTGTAAATTATATACATTTTTTAAGCTTTTAAAGGGCCTGTTCATCATGATGAGCTTCTTTATTTATTCCATGTGGGTCTTAAGACTCCTCTGTTAAAGCAAGAGGATCCGGAAAACTTTATGATTGAGCTTTTGACGCGTATGTGGTTTGAGTTTGCTCAAAAAGGGTAATTAGTATATTTTCTAAATACACTTTATAAATGTTATAATTTTATTATTTTTTTTTTATTCATAGTGATCCCCACAATAAGGATGATGAATACTTGAAAGATCTCAACTGGCCACGGTACAATTCACAAGAAAAAGGTTATCTGGAAATTGGTACCAATCTTACTGCAAAAACTGGCGACTTCTTTCTGGATCGATATCATATCTGGGATGAATTATTTCCTCTATCAAGCTTTTGCTGATTGATTCCCTACGACTTGGAATGTCCTTTTACATGTTTTACATTTATTATACGCAAAACATTTTATTTAATTAAGAAATGTTTATCAATACTAGTTTCAAATATTAACGATAGCTGAATAAAAATTAGATTACCCTTTAAAAATTTAAGGAGTTTTGTTGTTGCAAAATTTTGGGCTGTAAGGAAAGTCTTACGAATAATGCCGACACGAATTAGCTGAGTGGCAGGGTATTCAACTATAACGATCTCTAATATTTTTTTTTTTTAAATAAAAGCTGTGGTTTATTTATTATTATAATTATTACTCACAATATAAAGAAAGTTAATTAGGGCAAGCCGAAGTTTATATACTCTTACAGTTAAAATAGTTACTTAACGTTTTATTATCAAACTGTTTCACTTCACCTTATCTGGGAACGTCCAGCTTTCGCTCTTTCTCTCTCTCTCGATTCCAGGAACAGTGAATATCAGATATATTATTGCCATGTTTTTGAATTTTTTTTTTAAATTGTCGAAAATCAAGATGCCTACTTTAAAAAAAAACAAAGTTATAATGTCTTTTCTATTATTGTTTCGATTATTAAAACTGGAATTATAAGATATAGTGGTAATGTTTGGGAAAGTTTCATCGAGACAACAAAATTAAAAAACAAGAGAGAACGCTATAGTCGGGTTGGTGTCCCGACTATCTAATACCCGTCACTCAGCGAACGCGGGTTGGTGTCCCGACTAATAATCGTAACTCAGCTAAAGGGAGTGCGAGGGAGATAGATATATGTAGATATTTTGATTGCGTATAACTTTTTAATGAATGGTCCGATTTGAAAAATGTCTTCTACATTTCGATAGGTATAAATATACACAACAAAATTGCATTTATACTTATCGGAAATCTTTAAGGATGTGGGCGCAGGACCCATTTTAAAATCGTTAATGGGCGATTGTGGGCGTTAGAGGGGGCGTGGCGCTCGGCTAAAATAAACTTGCGCTGCGTAGGAAGCCAAAGAATATGTGTGGGAAATCTCAACCTTCTAGCTTTTGTAGTTTCCGAGATCTCAGCGTTCATACAGACAGACAGACGGACAGACAGACGGACAGACGGACAGACGGACAGACGGACAGACGGACATGGCTAGATCGACTCGGCTAGTGACCCTGATCAAGAATATATATACTTTATGGGGTCGGAAACGCTTCCTTCTAGCTGTTACATACTTTTGCACGAATCTAGTATACCCTTTTACTCTACGAGTAACGGGTATAATTAGATGAGCTCGGCTGTAGTTGCTGATCAAGACCTTATGTGATTGGAAACGTCTCCTTCACTGCGTTTCAAACATCTGACTGAAATTATAATACCCTCTGCAAGGGTATAACTAGGTTTTGGTTTTTTTAACTTGTCGGGGAATTTTCCTAAGTTTGACATAGAAACTAATTCAACGAAACGCTAAAAATTGTGTGATGCAGTCCAGGAGGGTTATCTAGGACCACAAAATTATACAAATTTGATTTACAAGTAAAAAAATAGTGAACTGGTATTTATCTACTCCTCTTATAAAGACATTTGAAAAGCTTTAAGATATTATAAACAAGAACGGAAGCTAGCTTCGGCAAGCCGAAGCTTATATACCCTTGCAGATCATTCTATTAATATACAAATCGCAAAAATTTTAAATTTCTTATTATTTCACATTAATTTTTCGATCGTTTCTATCACAGCTATATGATATAGTAGTTCGATCTTTTAAAAATTAAAATCGAAATTCGGAAATATTTCAAAATAGTCATATCCCAGAGTAGAAGGGAATGTAATAAAAACTAACAAAGATATAATTTTTTCCCATTAATTTCCATTTAATTTTTCGACCGTTCCTATGGCAGCTATATGATATAGTGATCCGATTTAAAAAATAAAAAAACCGAAATTCAGAAATATATAAAAAAAAATATTCCCAAGAGTAGAAGGTAAAACAAGAGAGAACGCTATAATCGAGTGCCTCGACTATTAGATACCCGTTACTCAGCTAAACAACTTAATAGAAATATGCCTCCTTTTTTGTTTTTCGAAGCTGGAATTAGCTCCCGTTTTTTACCCAGGGAACTCCACGTGGAGGCCTTCTAAAACTTTCAATTCTGCCTAGCACATCTTCCGTCTCTCTCTAGCGCAGGTGAATGCACTTGTGAAAAACGAATACGAGCAAAAAGAGACAAAATGCGCGCCCTTTTCAAATAATTTAAAATTTGCAATAACATATTGTGAATTAGTGTGACCACAGAAAAAAAGGACAAAAAGTTCAAATTAACCATCTGAATAGATGGCGCTATTGTATATTGAATTGAGCCATCTACCCCAAGATATTGGTACTACTGGCCATGAAAGGCGGAAATGTAGGCGCTAGACAGGTTTAAGCGTTAAATGGGTTTTGCGGGCGTTAGAGTGGGCGTGGCAAACTTTTACTTGGCCAATCGATATGTATTGACGAAACAAATACATATCAGTTACTATTTTCATAATAGCTTCAAAACTGTGGGCGATAGAGAGGGCTAGTGGGCGTTAGAGGGGGCGTGGCACCTTTTTGAAATAAACTTGCGCTGCGTAGGAACTCCCAGAATCTGCATGCAAAATGCCAATCTTCTAGCTTTTATAGTTTCCGAGATCTCATCGTTCATACGGACAGACGGACAGACAGACAGACAGACAGACAGACGGACAGACGGACAGACGGACATGGCTAGATCGACTCGGCTAGTGATCCTGATCAAGAATATATATACTTTATGGGGTCGGAAACGCTTCCTTCTACCTGTTACATACTTTTGCACGAATACAATATACCCTTTTACTCTACGAGTAACGGGTATAAAAACACCGGAGCTAGAATTTTTTTACGTTTTTTTTTTTTGATCCTTCCTATGGGAGCTATAAGATATAGTTGTCCGATCCGGTTGGTTCCGACATATATACTACCTGCAATAGAAAAAAGACTTTTTTATCCCGATAGCTCAAAAACTGAGAGACTAGTTTGCGTAGAAACGGACGGACAGACGGACGGACAGACGGACGGACAGACGGACGGACAGACGGACGGACAGACGGACGGACAGACGGACGGACAGACGGACAGACGGACGGACAGACGGACGGACAGACGGACGGACAGACGGACATGGCTAGATCGACTCGGCTAGTGACCCTGATCAAGAATATATATACTTTATGGGGTCGGAAATGTCTCCTTCACTGCGTTGCAAACTTCTGACTGAAATCATAATACCCTCTGCAAGGGTATAAAAAGAACAATGTGTTAACCGCATTCAATATTTGTAATTCTGTAAATTTTTTAACTTTTTTTATACGTTGTAAAACAAAGCTGTTTTACACATTTCTTTGTTCCCAACTGAAGCGACTATTCACCTGTTCGCCATCGTCTTCTATAAATCTGTACATATAGCGACGACCAGGCGATCTTGTTATTATGCCAGATCAGTTCACAATCATTGCTCGGTAAAGCCCCAAAAGCAATTTCAGCCGCTGGGTTTTGTATAAAAACGACAACGGAAACTTTTACAACTCAGTTTAAGGCATGCGGCAAGATGCTGAAGTTCATCTTAGTGGAACTGCTGGTTCTGCTGGCGAGCTCATCGGTTTTCTCCATCGAAGTGGACACGGAGTTGGGACGAGTGCGCGGTGCCAATCTGACCTCCAGATTGGGCTTGACCTCCCATGCCTTTCGCGGCATTCGGTATGCCGAACCTCCCCTGGGGGAACTGCGATTTTTGAATCCCCAGCCCGTGAAGCCGTGGTCCCCGAAAACTTTCGACGCCACTGAAGATGGACCGATGTGCCCGCAACCATGGGACAATATGACGGATGTTTCCGAGGACTGTCTGCGCTTAAATGTGTACACAAAGGATTTGAAGGACCGTCGACCGGTGATCGTGTTCCTGCATCCCGGAGGCTTCTATGTATTCTCCGGACAGAGTAAATACTTGGCCGGACCCGAGCACTTCATGGATCGCGATTGTGTGCTAGTCGCGCTAAATTACCGGCTGGGTAGCTTGGGTTTCCTGGCCACTGGAACCAGAGAAGCTCCTGGCAACGCGGGAATGAAGGATCAGGTCCTGGCATTGCGCTGGATCCAGAGGCATATCCATCGGTTTGGTGGTGATCCCGGCAGTGTGACCCTTTTGGGATACAGTGCGGGCAGTATCAGCGTAGCTCTGCACATGCTATCGCCCATGTCGCGGGGTCTCTTCCATCGGGGAATCGCCATGAGTGCTGCGCCATATGGACCAGTTCGTTATCGAAACAACGACCTTCGGTTGGCCAAACGACAGGCTGGTCTACTGAAGTGCCCCCAGGAACCGGTCAAGGAAATGGTCGAGTGTATGAGGCAAAAACCTTACTTGGATTATGTGACCACGTACAATGGGATGTTTGAGTTCGGCTGGAATCCCACACTGAACTGGAGAATCGTGGTCGAGGAGGATTTTGGTCAGGAGCGCTATCTCATCGAGAGTCCATTTAAGACAGCTCGACGAGGTGACTTTCACAAGGTTCCCATTATTACTGGCATTACGGAGTTAGAATTCCTTTCTGGAGCATTCTGTAAGTGAAAACTAAAATTTAAGAAGAACATTTTAATCTAAGGCATCTAACCTTCTTCACTCGCTTCAGTTGATCTGCGAAATGAGAGCATTGTAAGCAACTACAACACGAACTGGGAACACTTTGCCCCTATCGCGCTGATTTTAGAACGGAACTCAACCCAAACGCGGGTTGGCAGTCGCGTTTTGAGGGAGAAATATATGCCCGAGAGTAGGGACAAACTGGAGTACCCGAAATCTCTAAAGGGCTTGGGGGAACTCTACAGCGATGCCATGATTGGAGTGTCCTTTAATCGATTTCTTCGCTTGATGGCCCCCCACACTCCTATTTACACCTATCTGTTTCGGTACAAGGGAAGATACAGTTTCTTGAAAAATCCCGATAATCAACAATCCATGGGTAAGCAGTTATTTAATATGTTTAAAAATTGCTAAATATATTAGTTTCTTAATTTGTATAGGTCCTGTTCATCATGATGAGCTTATATATTTATTCCATGTGGGTCTTTTGACTCCTCTACTTAAGCGAGAGGATCCCGAAAATTTTATGATTGAGCTTTTGACGCGTATGTGGTTTGAGTTTGCTCAAAAGGGGTAAGGAGTATATTTTCTAAATGTTACGGTTTAGATATTATTTATTTTTCCCAGTGATCCACACAATAAGAACGATGAATACCTGAAAAATCTAAACTGGCCCCGGTACAATTCACAAGAGAAAGGTTATCTGGAAATTGGTACTAATCTCACCGCAAAAACTGGCGGCTTCTTTCTGGATCGATATCATATCTGGGATGAATTGTTTCCTCTATCCAGCTTTTGCTGAGCGTTCCGAAATGTATTTCTATTTTAAAAAATTATTATACCTCAATTTTAGCATTCCAAACATTTTATAAAAATGAAAAAATATTTATATTTCAAACGTCTAAAAAAATTAAATAAATATGAGATTAACCTGTATAAATACTACATCTCTTGCATGCCGTTTTTGTATGCTGAAAGGAGCTACTCTTCAAGGTCCTTGTTTAGAAGCTAAATCAACAAAAAAAGTCCGATGACATACTCATCTCTTCGGGACAGAATTCACAAAAATTAACAAACAAAAATGACAGAATGGTTGAGCGCATAACTATCGCCAGGTGAACGAGCAATGAGCACATTTTCAGCAATTTCCATCTGATGTTTGGATTTTCTCGACTTTTTGCCTGCACAAATTGTTGTAAAAACACGACAGGAAAAGCGAGCGAAAAAGAGGAATGCAGTGAAGCGACCGATTTGCTTGGACAAGTTACCGATTAGATTCAGTCAAGAAGTGAGCTGATATTTCGAGACATCTCTGAGACTGCAAATTGGAATTGCTGACATTGCGTAAATAATAGCTACAGCTTGAACAAAAAACCCAGACAGTGTGTGTTTTCTTTTTCGGAGTGACTATTAAACGTCAAATCCTCTGCCTGGGATATGACAAATCATCATTTTTGCTCATGTTTCCGCTGATGATAATCAGCAGCTCATTAAAAACGCGTCGAACCACAAAACAGGACATCATTAAATAGACTCTTCTCCACTGGCGACCACTCGGGGGACATTTAAAGGGTTAAGAACCGGGAGCCACGGGAGTCGCCAGATCCAAACCCTAAATCGCATGAAATTATCTACATTTGCATGCCAACACAAAACACACAGAGCTAATGGCAATTCCAGCCACACCACATTTATATAGCTCATGAATTTTTGATTACGCATTTGGCAATGCGGCCAAAAACGGCCAAAAGCACCAGCCGAGCCCAAATGAACCAAACCAATCCAACGGAAGTGACTCAGTGCAATTTAATATTACGCATACGCAGCGAATGCAACTGATTGGCAGCGGTTAATAAATGCGCTCAAAACCGGCGCACATAAACGTATGTACATCCATAGCCAGCCACGCAAATATTTGTATGCGAATTCCATAATTCACTGGACGCCAATCGAGCAGCTTTGCGTGTGACCAGAAAAGCATCGTTATAATATAAATACGCGCATCATAATATCCCATCATTTTGGTGCGCTATCTGTGGCGAAAACAAACTGGGAATCGTGAAGCCTCTGAGAGGTGAATATTTGCGATAGGTGCTTATTTGCCAGCCATTATCTGGGAGGTAATAAGAATGTAGTTTGAAAATGGAATAAATAAAAAAGGAAATAAATGAAAATTAATTTAAACAAATTATTTTATTTACTTTTTTATCGAATTTGCAGTTTATTCAGATAACTTTCTGCTTTTGTTTCCTTTTATTAACAGGAAAGGATGGGAAGACCATCTTGAAAACCTTAACCAAGCTAAGGATTATAATAAGAACAATAACTACAAGAGCTAAAATAAAAGTGCTTAAAACGTCCAGGCTGTGATAAGTAAAGAAGTCCAATTCTCTGCCCGTTACTCGCATATATTTAGCCCCCCTGTGACGAAGGACGTAGTTAGTCCACCATACTGCAGTATCCAGAGGATTCATGGGCTGATCCCGATATCGAGCAGCGGTCGTTCTTGCCGTAACATCGAAACTCTTTTCTGTTAGCAACCGGAGAATAGAGTCCTTGAATTCCTCTTCAGTCATATCTTTGTAGTTCAAAACCAAACCTAAGCCCTGTCGTTTGATATGTTCCATATTGGCAAACTGATCGTAGAAGAAAGGCAACCCGAGCATAGGTTTACCATGGTGAATGCTTTCTATAGTGCTCTGCATTCCTCCGTGAGTAATAAACAGTTTAACCTTTGGATGGGCCAGGATATCCTGCTGCGGGAACCATTTGCTAATTAACACATTCGATGGTTTCTCTGACAACTTTTCATCTTCGAATTTCCACAGGATGCGCTGTGGCAGACTGGCAAATGTTTCGATCAATATTCTCTTGCGATCCTCTACCAGGTTTTTGTATCTCACGTTGGTGCCGAGGGAAAAGTAAATTACTCCAGGTTCGCCAGCCCCTTGGATAAATTCCTCCAAATCCTTGGGTAAAGGTTTCGTTTCCTGATTAATGTGCATACCGCCCACCTCGATAACATTTGGTGCATATGGTCGAGGTGGAGCCAACGTAAAGTGTTGATTGACCAAAATCAAGGCAAAGTTTTGCGAAATCTCGGACAGTGGCTTTTTGTCAGCTATTTCCGGAAAATATTTCCTGTAAAGGCCCTTATGCTTGCTCTCATACCGCCAATGCCAGTTCATCCAAGAAATGAAGCGTTCCACAAAGTGTCCCAGACGACCCACATAAGTCTCCAAGTCGTAGAAGTAAGAAGATGGGGACTGGAGATAAGACATTGGTGATGGATTTCCAACCATTTCATCGATTTTCCAGTCGGTACCACATGGAGCCATTCCGATAATCGGGGCCTCAAAATAGGCGGCCAAGCCATAAAGAGCATCATACTTCCAAAGATCTACAATGATCAGATCAAATTGAACTTTTCCTGGTCTCAGTACCTTTCGACGCACTCCATCATTATTGAATACTACTTTTGTAATGTTATACACGAATTCGTTGGTTACCTCAAAAAATTGCCAAGTATTTGGCATTGGCATTGTCATAGCTTTTAATAATTCTGAAAAAAATGTATCAGAATATATATTTTTAAAAACTCCATTTTACTTGCCATCAAAACTATCAAATACCTCCGGAACGGGAATCTCTTGTATATTATTCCCCGGTTCTTTCGATGGAAACGGAGTTACCGATGTTATTTCATGTCCCAAAGCGGCCAAACTTTTCAGATAGGGTAGGGCATGATAATAATGCGATTGACTTGGTATTGGAAACAAGGAAAGTATGCGAGCTCCTTCCAGAAATCCAGGAAGTATAAAAACAAATAGAGAAAACAGTCGAACAGGAAACATTTTCAGACTGCAAAGGTGCTTTCCACAAGATCTAACAGAAGACTGAAACCAAAACACTTTTTTGTGACAATTGATAAGATTAACCTGATAAGAAATTACACTGAAAAAGAAAAGAAAATCAGAAAGTGGCTTTTTAATTTATTGGTCTTTTTAATAGAATGAAAATAAAGCCGCGATTACCACTAAAATTCTTCTACGAAATATTTGTTTGATTTTGTTGTGTGGTTTTAAGTGTACACATTTTCGTTAGGTAGCGTTATCAGCCTTCCCAACCGCAACCACATCTTGAATTATACACAATTAAACTCTTATGCCTTGTATTTATTAGAATACTACGTTGCGTTTACCAAAACATAAGAGCCAAAAAATCCCTAATATTGTAAAATACTCACATTAATAAAAAATTATTTTTTTAAGTGTTAAAATTATATATTTTTTTTTTTTTTTTTTTTTTTTTTTTTTTTTTTTTTTTTTTTTTTTTTTTTTTTTTTTTTTTTTTTTTTTTTTTTTATTTTTTTTAATTTAAAATTTTTTTTTTTTCCCCCCCCCCCCCCCCTTTTGGTGGGGTTTTTTTTATGGGGGGAACCCCCCCCCCCCCGGGGGCCCCCCCCCCTTTTGGGGGGGGGGGGGGTTTGAGAGGGGGGGGAAAACCCCCCGACTAGAGCTTTCTCTTGTTTTTATTATATAGATATGTGTGAGGGATAGTTATCGAATAGTAATCCCCTCAACATTTATTTAGTTTTCCGCTTTCTAGTTTTTGTATTCTTTTCACTTCGCATGACAATTTTCAATAACATAAACACAAAAAAGACAACACTTGCAAAGACAACCAAAAAGCCTAGGAGAAAAGTTCCCAGGACATCCAGGCTGTGATAAGTGAAGAAGTCCAAGTCTCTGCCTGTTACTCGCATATATTTAGCTCCCTTGTGACGAAGGACGTAGTTAGTCCACCATACTGCAGTATCCAGAGGATTCATGGGCTGATCCCGATATCGCGCAGCAGTTGTTCTCGCCGTGACATCGAAATTCTTTTCTGTCAACAACCGCAGAATAGTGTCCTTGAATTCGTCTCCTGTCATATCCTTATAGTTGAGGACCAAACCCAAGCCCTGTCTTTTGATATGCTCCATGTTCCTGAACTGATCATAGAAAAATGGCAGTCCCAGCATCGGTTTGCCATGGTGAATACATTCGACGGTGCTCTGCAATCCTCCGTGGGTTATAAACAGTATAACTTTTGGATGGGCCAGGATATCCTGCTGGGGGAACCATTTGCTTATTAACACATTGGATGGCTTTTCTGGCATCTCCTCATCTTCAAACTTCCACAGGATGCGCTGTGGCAAACTGGCAAATGTTTCGATCAATATTTTCTTGCGATCCTCAGCCAGGTTTTTGTTCCTTACATTGCCGCCGAGGGAGAAGTAAATTACTCCATGTTTGCCAGCCCCTTGGATAAATTCCTCCAAATCCTTGGGTAAAGGTTTCGGTTCCTGATTGATATGCATGCCTCCCACCTCGATTATATTCGGTGCATATGGCCTAGGTGGAGCCAATGTAAAGTGTTGATTGACCAAAATCAAGGCAAAATTTCTGGTAATCTCCGACAAAGGTTGTTCGTCAGCAATCTTCGGGAAATACTTTCTGTAGAGTGCCTGGTGCTTCGCCTCATGACGCCAGTGCCAGTTAATCCAAGAAAGCAAGCGATCCACAAAGTGTGCCAAACGTCCACTGTAGCTTCGCAGGTCGAACCATTTAGCAGAAGGAGACTGGAGGTATGAAATCGGTGATACATTGCCCACTAACTCGTCGATCTTCCAGTCAGTTCCATAGGAAGCTATTCCAATTATTGGGGCATCAAAATAGGCGGCCAGGCCATATAGACCATCGAGCCGCCAAAGATCCACAATTATCAGGTCGAACTGAGCTTTTCCTGGCTTGAGAACCTCTCGACGCACTCCGTCATTGTTCAGCACTTGTTTTACAAGGCCAAGGTTGTAAGTGTTGATATATTCATTGTCATCCCAAGTGCCCCTGGATGTGCTTAAAGCGTTTATTAATTCTGAAAAGAGTTTTAAGATTTATTAACAGACTAAAATATTAGTATAATATACTCACCCTCAATATTGTCAAACAATTCCGGAACAGGAATGTCGCGAATGTTTTTCACAGGTTCCTTCGATGGAAATGGACTTACAGAGGTAATTTCATGTCCCAGAGAAGCCAAGCTTTTTAGATAGGGAAGGGCGTGATAATAATGCGAATGACTTGGTATGGGAAACAAGGCAAGGATTCGGGCTGCCTCCAAGAAACCTGGCATAAGCGCCACCAACAAGACGAACGATCTCGGGACCCACATATTCTCAGACTGGTCGTGCTTTAGCCTTTGGTTCAACTGAAAGGCTGTCTGGTAGAACTCACCCAGCATATTTCTTCCCGCTGATAAGCTTAATCACCAGTCATCCACAGTCAATAAATTTTAAGTTCCCGTTTCTGATTACTCATGATTACATGAGGGAAAGTACCGTATCTGAGTTGGCTTTAAATCAATCATAATTTGCTTATCTACTACCATATAATTTTTGACCTACTAGAAAATAATTAAATAAACTATATTTAAATTCTTGATCTCCCTTTATTATTGTAACATTACAAACTTTAATTTAATGACTTTCCTTTACTGAACCTTTTGCTTTTTCTTAGAGTTTCCAAAGCCAGCCAAGTTGGCAATTTTCCTTAAAACATACAATGCGATTAGAAGAGTGACAAGGACTCCGCCCATGAGAGCTCCTATGACATCCAGGCTGTGGTAGGCGAAGAAACCCAAATCCTGGCCAGCCACTCGCATGTGGTAAGCTCCTTTGTGCCGCAAAACATACTCCGTCCACCAGATGGCCGTGTCCAAAGGACTCATTGGCTGATCCCGATATCGATCGGACATCTGCCTGGCCGTTTCTGCAAATTGCGGTTCCTTGACCAATCTCTCGATGGTCGCCTTGAATTCCTGCTGCGTCATTGTCTTGTGATCCAGTCCCAATCCAAATCCAGCCTGTGTGGCTCGCTTTACATTCAAGAACTGATCGTAGAAGAAGGGCAGGCCCAAGACGGGTTTACCATGATGAATGCTCTCGATGGTGCTCAGCAGTCCACCGTGGGTAATGAATAACTTGACTTTGGGATGTGCCAGGATATCCGGCTGAGGAAACCATTTGCTTATAAAAACATTTGGGGGTTTGCTCGGCAACTGATCATTCTCGAATTTCCACAGAACCCGTTGCGGCAGACTGGCAAAGGTTTTCAGAATAAGTTCCCTTCTCTCGGCCGGCAGATCCTTGCTCTTAACATTGGAGCCCAGGGAAAAGTAGATCACGCCCTGCTCCCCGGAACCCTGGATGAACTCCTCCAAGTCCTTGGGCAAGGCAGCTGGCTTGTGGGATATATGCAGACCTCCGACCTGAATCATATTCGGAACGTAGGCCCGGGGAAAGCTCAGCGAAAAGTGCTGATTGAGGAGCACCAGGGAGAAGTTCCGGTTTAAATCACTGAGTTGAACCCTTTTTGAGACCACGGGAAAGTATTTCTGGTATAATTTCTCCTGCTCTGGCATGTGCACTAACCGATAGTTAAGCCAGGCAATTGTTGTATCCACAAAGTTGGTAACTCGCTCCCCGAAAGTCATGCGATCCGTAAAACCCGCTGTTACCAGGGGAGTAACCGATAGAGGCGATATATTGCCCACCAGCTCATCAATATTCCAGTCGGTGCCAAAGGTGGAAATGCCTATAATGGGGGCATTAAAATGGGCCGCAAATCCATAGTAGGCATCCGAGCGAAGAGCCTCCACAATTATCAGATCATAGTGATCCTTGCCAGGAGGCAAAAGCGTTTCTGTCACCTCTTTGTTGGTGAGAACTGAGCGAGTGACGTCCACAAAGAACTTGTTTATGAAATTGTTCTCCTGCCACAAGTTCATTGGATCGTTTAGCTCATTTATAATATCTGGAAAAATTATATATCTAAATAAATGCATCTGATATCGTAATATCATTTTACCATTGTAGTTCTCAAACACTTCTGGGATGGGAATGTCTCTAAAGTTTCCCACTGGTTTCTTTTGAGGAAAGGCATTAATCGAGGTCACCTGGTGACCCCGAAAAGCCAGTGTCTTTAAATAGGGCACCACATTGATATACTGCGATGGTCCTGGAAAGGGAAATATGGCCAGTATCCTGGCAGCCTGCAGACAAGCAGGCAAAATCGTCAGCAAAACACTTAGCTGTAGAGCCAACATCCTAAAGATCGTCTGGTTTTCGCAAACTCAAGCTATAAACTGAATCAGAAAACGCACATTACAGCATAGTCAGGGGCTATTAGATAACACCCACCGAGACACCGACATGCGATAGCAATTCTCGACAGATGCGATTACGGAAATTTCGTAGGCGATCCACATCTCACCGTGGCACCCCATCACTATTTTGTTTCCTATCTTATCCCCTTCTATCCCACAATCAAAAAGCATCACTACACTGCTCCACTGAATTAACAATGGCATACAGTGGAAGGAAAAGTAAGTAAGTTGGGTGTTTTAGATTGAAAATACAAACTTCCAGATTACTAAAATTCCATTTTGAAGACATTTTTATCTTATATAGTTTTTATGAAAAAGCTCAAAGCAGACGTTACCTAAAAAATATTTTCCCGAGTGTATTGGCTTTAATAGTGATAGCTTTAAATCAAAAGTTAAACAAAGTCTGGGGGTTCATGCGTGCATTAAAATGATTATAATGAAACGTCAAATGCTACGTTTTAACAGTAGACTGTTTTGTTTGAAAATTTGGTTGCCCTCACAAAAGGCTTATTCACTATGATTTTTACTAAAAATTTATTAGTTGTTTCACCACAAAATACATTTGTTTAAATTTTTTAATCATTATTATTTATTTAACATTAAAAATATTCTTAGTAAGTATTATAATGTTTACAAGTGCTAATAACAGAACAAATAATTTCATACATAAAGATCGGTGGCGGCATGAACTCGACTAGTTAATGGAATTTAATTGGTTACTGGCTCTTCAATTTACTCGACCCCTGACGACGCTTTGAGATGATATAACTGAGACCCCTCAGCAGGCAGTTCAGTGCAATCACGAAGATCAGTAGAGACACTAAAGCGACTGCGACGATCAGTCCCCAGGTATCCAGACCATGAAACTGTATGAAGTCCAGATCCCGGGAGGCACATCTCAAGTGGTTGGCGCCCTTGTGCCTCAAAACGTATTCGGTCCACCAAATGGCTCGCTCCAAAGCGGTTTCCTTCTGATCCCGGAATAATTTCGATTTAATCTGAACTGCTGCCGCATAACTGGGTTTATTCAGAAGTTCCTGAATCAGAGTAGTGAGCTCTGTGGCATTGGTACTCCATATATCCGCACTAAGACCATAGCCCGCCTGCTTGGCCCTCTGGACATTCAAGTGTTGATCATAGAAAACTGGCAGACCCAAGACGGGTTTACCAAAATATATGCTCTCAATGGTGCTCAGCAAACCGCCGTGGGTGATGAAAAGCTTCACGTTCGGATGGGCCAGGATGTCCGGTTGGGGAAACCACTTGCTAATAAACACATTCGATGGCTTTTCAGGCAGCTGATCGTCTTCGAATTTCCACAGAACACGCTGAGGCAGGCTGGCAAAGGTTTCCATCAGAACTTTGCGAGTGGCTGGCGGCAAATCGGCGCTTTTGATGTTGGAACCCATGGAGAAGTAGATAATACCCTCAGCCGATTGCTCCACAAATTCCGCCACTTCTTTGGGTAAAGCCTTAACCTTTTGCTGCTGTTGCAAATGCAGTCCACCGACTTCAATCATATTGGGCAAGTAGGGACGTGGATAGCTCAGCGAAAAGTGCTGACCCAGCAGCATCAGCGAAAAGCTATCCAAAACGTCCTCCAGTGATTTTCTGGCATTTGGAAAGTATTTGGCATACAAATCCCGCTGAGTGGGCAGGTGGACAATTCTCTTGTGCAGCCACATTATCGTAGCTTCCCACACATTCCGTAGACGATCCTCGAAACCCATTCGCTCGGTTCGCGATGACAGCAGCATGGGATTGTAGGATAATGGCGAAATGTTGCCCATCAACTCATCGATATGAGTGTCTGTTCCGTACGATGAGATGCCTATGGTCTGGGCGCCAAAATGTTGGGCTAAACCAAAGAGCGCCTCGGTTTGAACCGTTTCCATGACAACCAGGTCGAAACTCTCTCCGCTGGCCAGCAAATCCTTAACAGCCGGATCATCCAGAACACTTGTGGTCATAATATTGAGGAACTCCGTTGTCATTGTCAAGGTAGTCCATTGACTTGCCTCCTGGTTGAAAATCAGACTTCCAAATGCTGGAAAATAAAGTTGTTTTTTAAAAAAAAGTTAATTTACAATTTTCATATAATTTTTATATTGTTTAGCAACTCACCTGCCATTATTTCGTGAATTTTTTTGGCACCAATTACCCGAAAGTTGGGCTCTGATTTATCGCTGCCGAAGGTATTGATCACTGTGACATTGTGACCTCTTTGGGCCAGTTCCTTGAGATACTGCTCGGCAAATATGTACTGCGATCGGCCGGGAAAGGGAAACACGGCCAATATGCGTGAACTTTGAACCCCTTCATCGGCACTAACGCTGAATAGCAAAGCCAGGCCAAACAGCAGAACGCCCAGACCAGTTCCAGAACACATTATTCCCATTTCAGAAGCAACCACAGCGATTCGCTGACGAACGACAACTAATCTAACATAAAAAGTTTTCTATATATAATTATCGGTGGGTGCCGATTAAAAGAATCGCCCAAAATTTTCTCATTCTACACAAAGGAAGTTCACTGAAGCGAGATAGAAGCTTGGTTTTTTATACGCTCTTTCTGTATTTTAAAATTTATTCACATTATTTTTGGCGTCCCCGGCTTGCCTCTAAACAACTTGTTGATTGTTTACATACAAATTCAGTTGTTACGCAAGCGATAAGAGAATTAAAAAATACTCTTTTTTTCCATTTGGTTCTCTTAAGTTTTCGCTTTATCGCGACTCGACTCTCTAATTGTCAAACTCTCCAGTTGTTATTGTTTACTCGAACTTTTAATTGAACACAGTTTTTTTTTTGTTCAGAGAGCTGTGAAAATAATTATACCCTGCTCTTAATGTGAATATATTTATTTATAGGGCCCAGCTGATATTCAAAAATACTAAAAAATATTGCATTTAATACGTATTTACTTTAACATTCAATGAATATATTTAATTTATACATTTGTAATGCAAACATAAATTAATAAGGTGTCTTTGTATAGGTTTAAGTAGTTAATAATTGTTTGTATTATAATTTGTAAATTCTTGATTGAAAATCGACCAAATGTCAAATATTTATTTGTATAAATTTACAGTGCATCACACTGAAACGCTCTAAAAATAAATCTAAAAACACTTAGAAACAATCATAAATAAAGCGGCAATTAAGATTAGATAAAGCTACAACAGGGCTTATCATTCATTGTCCCTACTGTAATCAACCTAAAAAAAAAACACAATAAAATAATAACAATCGAATCCAAATGATATTCCTCCAAAGCGCAGATCGTTAAAACAGGCAATTCATTATTTTTTTTAGTCATACATTATTATTATTATTAGTATTTTAATTATTATTATTATTAAGTGTTCGAGTATAATGTAAAACATACAGGCGAACTTAAAGTCATACGTATAAAGATACTTTTAACTAAAACGTAATTTTTTTTAATGCTTAAAATATTTACATTTTTAAACCACATAATTAAAATTAAAGTTATTTAAAGCACATACATTAACTAATCACATCGTTACTACGTTGAATGCCAATTGTAGGCAAGAAATGCTTTGCAAAATTAGTTAAATAATTCAAGCAATATCTTCCTTTAGAAATTGCCAAAAACACGATACCCACCACCAGGGATAACCGTACTCCGATCATTAGGAATTTGTCCAGTGAATAGTACTCAAACAGTTTTACTTGTGATGGAGATACTTTCATATGATTGGCTCCCTTGTAGCGTATCACGTACTCGGTCCAATATACGGCGGTTTCCAAGGGATGCATGGGCTGATCCCGAAATCTTTGTGAAACTGCGAGAGCACTTTCTGCGTAATTTGGCTCGTTTATCAGACGATTCACAGTATCCCTCAGTTCCTGTCCTTCCAAGCTGTTAATGTTCAACTGGAGGGCTGCACCCTCCTCCTCCAGGACTTCCAAATTCCTAAATTGATCATAGAACAAAGGCAGGCCAAGAACAGGCTTCGCATAGTAGGCAGCTTCAATTACACTCAGCATTCCACCGTGGCTAATAAAAAGCTTGACGTTAGGGTGAGCCAAAATGGCTTTCTGTGGCAAAAGTTTGGAGACGTAGATGTTACTAGTTAATCCTTCCGGGGGCTCACTCTCAAACTTCCAAATGACTCGCTGCGGCATCGATTTGAAGCTTCTAATCAGTATTTTTAGAGTTTCTTTCGGTAGGTCCTTACATTCCTGCTCCACACCCAAGGAAAAGTATATTACTCCATGCTCTGCCTCATCGATGAACAACTGCAGATCCTCGGGCAGTTTTGGATCCTCTTTGGGGATGTGGAAGCCAGCCACCTCGACCAGGCCCGGCACATTCGACCTGGCCCGGAACAGGCTAAAGTGTTGATTTAACAGTATTAAGGAAAAGTCATGCCGGATCTCCAGGAAACTCCGATCTAGATGGCTAAAGAAGTGATCATGAACGAGGCGCAGTTTTGGTAGAAAAACCAAATTCATCAATAGCCACTCTTCGGTGGTGTAAAGCCAATTGTAGATGCGATCCCAAATACTTCGTACCGATTTTATACCCAATGGCATTAAAGGTTCCACCAAGAAGGAGGTTGCATGACCCATTAGGGTATTTATATTCCAATCCGCTAAACATGTTGAAATTCCGACCAGCGATGCATTAAAATGGTCTGCTAGCCCGTAAAGCACATCGGTAAAACCCGGCTCCACGACCACCAAATCAAATGTGACATTTGCTTGCATTAAGGATCGAACTTGCCAATTATTTAGTATATTTAGGGAAGCATTTGCCATTATTTTCGTCATTGAAGTCATTTCTCCCCACTTGTTAGTCGAAGAAACGATTCCTATGAACTCTTCAAAGTCTACGGAAAAAGAAAAGGAAGCACAGGTAAATATATTATTATATAACTCAGTTAAGAATGGCATCCTGACAGCTGCTTAAATTTAGGCTACATGAATGTTATTATTAGGAAAAGTCATTCCAATTTAAATAAACAATGGGTTTTCAGTTTAAGAATATTTTATAAATGTAATACACTTTGAAAAAGTCCTTTCTTGAATAAAACTAGACAGTGAGTAAAAATGTATGAAACCACAGCCTAACAATTTAGAAGTCTTTATCTTTAAATTTGAGATTATCAATCGATTTTATCAATTTTCAATGCAATAATATTTCTTATCTCGTGTCGTTAAAACGGTATAATTGCAAATTAGCTTATCTTATAAAATGTCTGAGTTTAATGGCATCTAGACTCAATCAACGGGCATGTAAGACTGCCCCCTGGTTATCCCCTCTATAGCGTACCTGAGTAAACGTTATTATTATCCCTTATACGAATGAAGGTCACATTCTCAATGAGCTTGCAGTGTTTGAACGCGTGAATCACGGTCAGCTGGTGACCCCGATCGTTTAGGGCCTCTATATAGGGAGTCATCATCATGCACTGCGAATGCGACTCAAAGGGGGCGATCAGAAGAATTCGGGCACCGCGAATCGAGCAGATCGCGTTCGAAATCAGCCAGAACATCGGGAGAAGCCATCGCCCCGGTGGAAACATATCGTTCGAGCTCCCGCCTTTCAACTGACTTACTGTAGAGTTTTCATTTCGAACTCTTGCGCATTTTCGCTCGTTTCATTTCGCTGATTAGATTGCCTCATCGGCCCTATCGAGCATGTATTTCGACCAAATCAAGGCAGTATCACTTCGGGCAGCGGCATGTGCGGTCGATTTACGTGAGATGTTTGGGGGCCCGGGCATTGCTGGTCTACTGCTCCCGGTTCTGCTCCTTGGCGTTCTTTGTCCCAAGCTGGCCGAAACGGAAAATATTTTGGCCATATTCTCCTACACCTTTGGCTCATCTTATTTGCTGATCACTCCGTTTCTGAAAAACATCGTCCAGCGGGGTCATCAGCTGACTGTGATATCATCCGTTGCAGAAATGCCCCACATAGAGGGTGTCCATCACCTACGCGTGAAAAAATTAGATATGCTGATGCAAAGTAATGATCCTCAACGAGCTCTAATCTAAAAAAAAGTTATTAAGTTCCACAGCCTAAATGGCCCCTTGGAAAAATGTTGTGATTTTTCAATTTGGCTGCTATAGATACATATCGTGTAATAACCTTGAATTAATAGAAATTTTCCTATGAAATGTAGGAAAACCAACCTGCTGATTGTTTTGAGTTTTTTTTTCATCAGTGTTATATTTACTATCAATTCATTTTTGTTAATTATGAATTAATCTAAAAAAACGTTTACTATCTAATGTTTTGCAGTACTCCTGGATTACGATTACGACTTTCAGTTGAGCAAATGGATGGAGGCTCAATTCGTTGCCGAATACTTTTACAACTGTTCGAAATTCGTCCTAGAGGATCCCGGGGTGCAGGAGCTGCTCCACAATGCCAGTGCCCAGTTTTCGATGGTTATTCTGGAGGCATCGCACACCGATGCCCTCTACGGATTTTCGCAGCACTTTAATGCACCGCTGGTGGGCATTGCCGCCTACGGATCGGCATGGAACATTGACTTCCTGGTCGGGAACTCGGCACCGAGTGTCTACGAACCGATGTCCGCCCTGGGATATTCGTCTGGCCTCAGTCTGATGGAGAAGTGGCACAACCTGATCTTCATCACCGAGGAGCGTCTGGTGGAGCGATTCATCTACCTGCCGGGCCAAATTGATTTGTACAAGCAGCATTTTCCCGGAGTGCCGGCTAGTATTCACGAGCTGCGACGCAGATTCTCACTGATCCTGATCAATCAGCACTTTAGCATGGGTCGAGTGCGCAGTAATGTTCCCAATATCGTCGAAGTGGCCGGCATGCACTTGGCCGAACCCACACAACCCTTGGATGCGGAACTTAAAAAGCTTTTGGATGAGGCCGAACATGGAGTTGTCTACTTTTCAATGGGTCTGCAGGTCCTTGATAAATGGTTGCCAGCTGGAATGATTGAAACGATGCTGGCTGCCTTTGGGCAACTGAAACAACAAGTGATTTGGAAATTGAACAATACAGCGATAGTTGATAATTCAGGGAATGTCTATGCGAGATCATGGCTGCCACAGCGAGAGATCCTCAATCACCCCAATACGAAGCTCTTCATCACCCACGGTGGACTTTTGAGCTCCATCGAGGCGGTTCACTATGCGGTTCCCCAGCTGTGTTTGCCGCTGTTTTACGACCAGTTTCAGAACACCAAGCGGATGGAGCAAATGGGCGTGGCCAGGAGCTTGGATATCACAAACATCTCGCAAGACGAAGTTGTAAGGGTCATCGAGGATCTCGTGTACAATGCTAGTTATAAGCTAAATGCCAGGGATCTATCCCAGCGATTTCATGACCAGCCAATGTCGGCCATGGAGACAGCGATTTGGTGGACGGAATATATCCTGCGGCACAAGGGAGCCGATCACATGCGAATCGCCGAGCAGGAAATGTCCCTGATGCAATACTATAACGTGGACGTCGTTTCAGTGCTTTTCGGACGAATCGGATTGAGTGTTATAATCGTCATCTTTGTGGGTTGGAAACTGGTCTGTTTGGCAACGAGAAACCTGGAGTACCGCTTCAATGTGCCCATGGTAAGATGAACATGAACCCATATTGAACAAAAAAAATGTTTGTTTATAGATCTACAATTTGGTAAACTTTTGTTTTAAAAAGTATAAGACAAATTTGTAATTCTTTGGTAGCGGTTTATATTTTTTAATAATGCAATTTTTTATAAGATCACTTAGCAAACCTAAAATTTATAACCTTACATTAGCTTAATCTGAATTGTATATGTGTATGTTGATATGAGTCGACTATTATCGCGGATAGCGTAAAAGAAAAAAGTGTATTAGTTGTAAATGGTTCTATCGCATTGATAGCGATTTATCTTATCAGTCTGTTAAATGGCCGTGGAGGCGCCAAATAAAATATTTCGACTAGCTTTGTTATCAATTAAAATTTTTAAAAGTGGGTAAACATTTGTTTAATATATTTTTCCCTGGCTCTTGTAATATTTGGAATAATTGAAATGTATCTATAGTCCTCTCTTAACAGCCACGCATATTATAATTAGAAAACTTTACCTCCTTCAGTCGTTATCTATCCAAACCTTTTTACCCTCGGCCCTTCTTTTTTTTCGCCCATAAACATAACCGCGCTCATTACGCATTTTACATCAATCAGCACGTGCCCAGCATGTTTTCAACTCTTTTCACAAAAAAGAACACAAAAAGAAACAAAGAAAATAAAAAGGGAATTGAAAAAAGGGGATACTGGAGGAAAAAGGGACATTAAAATGCACAGGAGAGGCTGGTGAAAAAAGTGCGCACAATTGCTCCCTCAATTGCTGGGTGAAATACCCCAGAAACGTGAACCTGAAGAAGTCGATGCCGAATAGACCAGCGAACTTGAAGGTGAACCCGAAAGTGTCCAACTTCCCCTTCATAACCATTGGGGCGTAATGTCTGTGACGGTCCATCGATAGCCAAGGTAACGAACGCACTGCGCATAAAAACAGACCCAACCACAGTGATCGGTCCGTAAAATGGTTAAATAAACAATCGCATTCTGATACTGCTTTGTGCACTTGTTGGTTTGGTTTATTGATTAGATAACTTGATTGCAGTTTGTTTATAAAAATATTTTGCTAGTGCTCCCCAATCGAGCTTGTCCAAAATAATTCAATTTCAAGAGCTTAATAAAAAATGGTAGCCAAATAAATTCAAAATATTTATATTTAATAACCTTAAAACATTGAAAAACACAATTAGTCAATGCTCACCGTGTTTCCAGCTCATCAAATTTATTTGAAAGCCGCTACTAGTAATTGAAAACAAAAATCTATAAAAAGCTATCCTCTGCCCACAAGAATGTCAAATTATTTATGCCCAAAAATAAACCTAAAAAGCGAAAATAAAATGTGTGCCAAACGTTGGCATGTTAATAAGTTAGGCGGAAAGGACCGAGAACCAAAATTGCACTCAACGTGTTGTCAATTTGATGTTTATTGCAGATTTTTATTTGATTTTATGTTGGCTACATTTGAATTTATGTGCCGGCCATAAACTGCCGTCGAGTCTAATCCGAAAATTCTTGTAAAATTGCCAAAGCCTCGCGAGGAGTTGACCCAAAGTCAGGCCATTTTTATTGGCCATTTGGCAGAGGCGCCATGGCAAACTTTGTCCCTCATTGTTGGCGTTGGCGTTGCCGCTGCTCTTGGCCAATACTCAAGTGGGCGGCTTTCATTGGCGCTTAACTAACTGAAATTAAGTAAACTTTTCTTTTGACTTTCATAAGCCTTTTAATAAGCCATAATCCCCGCTGGCATTATCTGGCCCCCGTCACGAGCGCACAAAGGACAAACACACACAGACACAGACATGGGCATAATAAAATCTAATTAACATCCAGGACTGAGCTCGGCCCAAACCCCGCGCAATAAAAATCATCAATAGTAGGAAAGAATTTTATTAAAAGTGATTTTCATCACTGCGGCCAAGTCTCTGTGGGTTGATATGCTGGTGCAGGGCAAACAGGAACTAATGTTGAGGAAAGAACGAACATTTCCCGAGCCGATTGACTTTATAACACATGCCCGCCCCAGAAGGGTCGCCAAATCGGGGATATGACCAGCAGCTTTTCTACTTTTCTTGAGCCTGGGGATAGGCTGAAGTCTTAGGAATATACTCTTAAAAAAGAGAAAGGGAGAAGATAAATTTATAATAAAAGATGAGATTTTCTTTTTGGTTGGAATATATTTTCTAGAACAGAAGAAAATTTAAAAACAATTCAATAATAATAAAAAAATCATTTACAAAATATTGTATTTAAATATTTAACCAATATTTTATGTCCATCTACTCATTTTCAGTATTCCTTTATTGTGTTCCTTTATTTTTGACGATTTAAAAAAGTTTTTTTTTATATTTTTCCACGAAATGCAGAGCATATCCAATGCGTCACATCGATAAAACCGGTAATTTTCATTTTCCTATGAGTCTTATACACTTTTTTTTGGTTAGAAAAGTTATGCGGCAGGCTTTTAATTAGCGCCTGCCAACCAGTCAGCCAGCCGTCGTGGCCAAAGTCCCAGAGCGCATTACGCATACGCAGCGTTGACGCCGAGGTTGCCGCTGAGGCTGGCACATTGGCTTTGGGATTGCCGCTGGCTGGTCGGGCACGATTTTAATTAATTAGACTTTTATGAGGCGTACATGCAGCTCCGGCACTGTTGGGTTAAGGCCCAGTTATTGTTTTTTCCTTTTTTGGTTTTTTCTCCTCTCCCTTCTTTTCTGCTGAACTCCCTTGTGTTGTTTTTGCCGCTTGTTGGCCTGGCCTAATAAGCATTTCAGAGCTTAACACCGCCAACGAAATGTGTATCAAAATTTAGCATTTATTTTTGGCGGACGGGTGTGAGGGGGTTGCGCTCACACATGTCCATGTCCGTTGGCCATGTCGTGTGCGGTAATGAAAATTGCGGTGGCATTATGCTCAACATTTGGCATAATTGCAGTCCAGGATATGCGTTTATGCTCAGAGATTACTTTTTGTGGCTGCTGGCTGCTGGCCATTGACCAAGCCCCACCACCACATACAGCACCACCATACGGACAGAGCGGACACCATACGGACAGTACTACCACCGCCGCACCAGCAACAACAGCGAACGGCCAAGCGTAATAAAAGCCAGACGATGTCGCCTTTTGTATAAAGAAATAAAAATAATACCCAGCTCTGCCCCAAAAAACCCCGCCCTCGATTGTTGGTTTTGTGTTCCAGCTCTTGTTATTGGTATCTCGCTTTGCTACTCTCCGGCTTCTTGTTCCCCTTTTTTTCGCCGGGTTTTCCAGGCAAATTAATTTCTACTTGCCTTCGTTTTTTTTCGGTGGCGCGACATATTATTTGTCGTTGCCAGACCTTAAAAAAGGAATCCTTAAGGGTAAAAGAGGGGTAAAAAATGATAACCAAAAGCATTGTTCTGTTTAAATGTCAAAGAAAAGTGCTATGTCTGTTAAAGAATTTATGTAAATAAATAAATATAAATATTTTAATGTAAGTTAATTCTTACAAAAGCCTAATGCATAACACCTATGATTTTTTCCCTTTTAGTCAGTGAAATACATAAATTACTGCGAAGATGTGGAAGTAGAAAAAAAGACTCAGTAAAGTGCAAAAGACTCTTGTCGTGCAAATCAAACAAGACCAGCAAAAAGTAACCAATAAACATATAAAAGGCAGTTGCAAAACAATAATTAAAATGCACACGCAACAATTTTCTGGCTAGGCAAATGTATACATAAAAAAGTGAATAAAAAATAAAGAATAAACCAAATTATGTTTATTATTATGCACGATGAATGGGGATGGAAGTGAAATGGGAAGTGGAAGTGGGAGCAAACAAAGCGCCAGAAGAAAAGTGAGCTGGGAAAAAAGAAGTGAAGAGAAGGGAAAACTTGGGGGGTGGCGCCAAGTAATCCGCTTGTTAAAAATAAACGAAAAGGAAGAGACCGGAGAGCAGCGAGCAGAGGAAGCGCACACAAAACATAATCATCATAAACCGGAAATATCCCGACGGCAAAACATCCGCACATAAATTTTTTAAATAGTCTACAATATTTCGTTTTGCCGTTCGGCATTTGCCATTTGCCATCTCTGTTTCGGTTGGCTCTTTGTTGTTGTGGTGGTGGTGGTGGCTCTTCCACTTGTTGTTGGGCCATATCGCGTGTAAATACGTTTAAGTGTCGGTGCTCTCTCCCCAAAGATGGTCCGAATCCGAATCCCAAGCCCAGCGCCGAGCCGAACTTGGCCAACTGCAATAAACACACAAATTAACCCGTAATACCCAAGGCCAAGCCAAGGACCAAAAGGACAACGTGCCGCAATTCCAATTCGGTTTGCTTTTGCTCCTGCTGCTGCTGCTTTTGTGGTTATTCCAGCGCCAGCAACAACGCACATAAATAAAATATTACAATTTTAATTTGTCTCTAATCCCGTTGGACATTGAATGGCTTGTGGCTGCCAGCCATCCGACCATCCAGCCAGCCGAGTGGCTCTGAAATTTCGCCCCGGGAAGGGATTTCATAAATTGCTTGAATACACCCAGACCACGTTTATCTATACGGGATTTGTAGCCACGAAACAATGAATACATAAATCAAATGGATCGCTCCTGCTGACAGAGCTTATACGGTGTACTGCGTAAGGTAAGGTAAGGCAGCTCCTTTTCTTTCGCCCTCTCAGATTGTCGCGGATTTTCATATAGTTCTCTGATATTAAATCTGGCCAGCTTAGCGTCCAATACTTGATTGAAAGTTCTGTCGATTGACTGGCCGCTGATTGACCCTAAATTGAGAACTTAGCTCTTAGCCTTTCTTATTCTTTCCTATCAATATTTATTTTGTTACGATTATAATCTACTTGATCTACTTATAAAGCGCCCTTTTAATACCACATTTTTTATGGTCTATATATCGTAATGGCCTATTTCAGTTTAAACTTAATGCTCCCTAAAAGATGTCATATGTTCCATCATCAACGTTATGTGTTGGTCTACTTATTTATGATAGTTTCCGTAGTATTCGTCGATTTCCTCTACATT